ATTGTTTCTGTCGTTACTATAGATTTTATACTATTAATCATTCTTGACTTTTCTTTTTGTGTTTTTTGTTTGTTTGTTGTTGCTTATGTTTTGCTTGGGTTTTTTGGTCACATTAGCTTGGGTTTTTATAGCCCTGAGTATACTTTGTTTTTTTCCATTGTGGTTTGTATTTCGTTTTTCTAAATACTATTGTGCATTTCAATTGGCGCCTGAGTTGACCTGTCTTGACTGATCTACATTCATTATGCCCACGACCATTTCCTGACTGAGTATTTGGTCATGTAATGACCGGAACCTGAGACATTATTTCTTACTGAACTTTTCGTTATTATATAATTTCATTTCCACCAAGCACTTGAGTTTTTGGTAGCATAGCTGTAAATATTCTGCCTATCAATGGGTGACTCGCGTTTGATTTGCCGCTAGGTGATATAATTTTTTGGGGTGCCCTTTACTGGGCGGCTGGCGCGTTGTGTTGTGGTATATGGCTAGGCTGCGATATCTACGCCTTTTTATGGTTTTGGGGTTTACAGCTAGCCTGTGATAGTGGTGATGTGATGCTCCATAGTCATGACACAGGTAATCTCAAGAGGGCTGTTGGCACGTTGTGTTGTGGTTTACAGCTAGGCTGCAATATCTGACCTAAACTCTTCAGTCTTTGGTAGTATAGTTGTAAGTATTCCACCCTTCACGCGGGTGACCGGTGTTCAATTCCCCGCTAGGTGATAATTGTTTTTTCCCTTAAAAGGGTGGTGTCATGTTGTGTTGTGGTTGACAGATAGGCTGCGATATTTGCGCCTTTCGCCTAAAGATATCCGATTTCAGTAAAGTCTCGATTAGCCTCCCCGCTTCACTCGATCAAAAAACTATTCCGCGATGACAGAAACTTTTAACTAAGACGGCTTATAGTCCAGTTTAGTTTGGGTGGACTCGGATGCCAACCTCAGTTACAAATCATCCCTTTGGAGAGGTAGAGATGATGGGTGCGGGGTATTTTTCACCGGTATTTGTGAGTATAGAAGAGGCAAAAGGTGCAAGCCTTGGTTTGTGCTACGTAGAGGATGGCATTTACGACCTCAGATATTCCATCTGTCTATCGCTTGCATGATCAGCCTCTGGATCTGCTTCCATTATGTCTGTGACAGGGCTCTTTGTGGTGCACTGTCGGGTGGTTATCTTGACACATGGTCAAGCCATTTGATGTGTTGTCTCTTGATGTAGTTTAGTAGTGGTTCCATCCCAAAATGTTTCCCGAAATTGTCATTTCTGATTGTGTCTCTTCTATAGGATTCATCACAGATATTTCATTTCTGTTGTTCTGATTTGTCTTTTTCCTATTGTTAGTAATGCCCACATTTGGCACAGATAACACAAATCGAATTACTATTCGCCGACCACCAAGTCCTCATAGCAAAATGTATGGAATGCCTACAGAACCACCCAAATCAAATTAGCAACAAGGGGGAGGAATATAATATGAAAATAAACACTATGAAGATGGAGACAACGGTGATAGGAAGACAGAAAGACAATTAGGAAATTAAATTCAAAAACAACACCGTAAGACAAACAGAGGAATTTAAGTTTTTGGGAGCAATTTTCACATTGAGAAATTAGCTTGAGATGTGCCAAAGCTAATCAAGTAATTGGGCAACTATCTCCCCTGTTGACACATAAGCAGATACCCCAGAGCACTAAAGTGAATCTTATTGGAACTATTTTTTGGCCAACATTATGCTATCAGTGCCAAACGTGGACACTAACATCCTCCAATGAATGTAAAATTGTGACAAAAGAGATGAAATGCTTTAGAACAGCTGCATGAGTGACAAGGAAAGACAAAATACGAAATCATGAAATCAGACGAATGCTAGGAATAAAGCCAGTCTTACAGGTCATCAAAGAACTACAAATGAAGTGGTTTGGACACCTAACAAGAATGCCCTGGTACTATCTGCCACAGTGGGCCACACTAAAATGTTACAATGAGTATAAAGCGAGTGAAAGACCTAGGAAAAAATGGAGTGATGGCATTAAGAACAACCTTACAGAAATGAACATCTGTCTTAATAGTGCTCTTGACAGAGCTCATCAACAAATGTTACATCCCCCCCCCCCCCTCTCTCTTGACATTTCAGTGATTACAAGGTGGAAGAAAAGAAGAAGAAGAAGAAGAACTGGCTATCCTGCGAATAACGGGCACAAAAGATGGCGGGCACAAAAGATGGCGGCCACAAAAATATTCCAACAGAGCCTCAGTCACATGTCATTTGCACACTTGCGGTCACGAGCACATACCGGCAAAACTAGGATTACGTGTCATTTGCGCACTTGCGGCGACTTAAGATGCGGAAGCTGCTGCTCGTGAGTCCTCGCCATCTAGTTTAGCCCCAATCCCTGCCGCGTGAGCGGTGGCGGTGGCAGTAGTCGCCGGAAAACTGCAAATTAAGTCGCCGGAAGTGCGCAATTGACACGTGACTGAGGCTCTATTAGGATGTTTTTGCGGCCACTATCTTTTGTGCCCGTTATTCGGTTGGCTGAACACAATGCTGGTACTGTTGTGCTCTTTTGATGTCAATTACTGCATGCTTGTTCTGAAATAATGAGGACATCTGTCACTGACTTGCTTTATTACATTCGTATTCTATCTCTGCTTCCATTCTATCATTGGGTGATATAATGCTCCCTAGATATTTGAAGTCTTTTGTGTGCTTGAGTTGTTGGTTTTCTAAGCATAAATTCAATTTGTTGCAATGGTCACAACTTTTGGTATTTGTTTTCCATGTTAGTTTTCATGTTTTATGCTTCTGCTGCTATGATGAAATTAAGCGATTTTCCTGTGGCTCTTCTTTTGTAGTTATCATGAGGGTTTGGTGGTCTGCAAAATGGAGTTCTTTGCATTTATTGTCCTCATTAACCTCGGCTGTTTTACTGATTTGATCCATATATGTGATAAAAAGCAGGAGGAATAGAACGTATCTGTGACAGACTCTTGATTTTGAATATAAACCACCTGTCATTCCAGCATTTGATCTCTCTAGACCTTGGCTGCTGTAATCTATACATTTACATACATTATCCAGACACACTGTCTATATCCATAGACCCTTGGTGTTTTCCAAAGTTGGTGACAGTTGACCCAATCGAATACCTTTTTCTTTATCTATGTTTGCAAGGTATGGCATGTTCTAGTCTATAGTTTTCTCCGCTACCTGTCACAGTGTAAAAACAGCATTGGTATAGCTTGGTGATTTACTGTGCTGAAACAATAACTGGGTGGACTTTTTTCCTTAATTTTCCCAAAAATTGCCAGAAAATTGGATAAAACTGCCCTTTGACCTTGGTCATCATGTTTGTCCAAGATCTTGTTCTGTAAACTACAAATAATCTCTGAATCTGATGTTCAGCCAGCAGACTTTATATTTAGACTTGTTATTTATCACACTTTTTTCACAGATACATCTTAATATGAATTATATTAAACAATTTTGTCAATTATTAATGAAAAAAATTTATTAACATTCTGAATTTAAACTTTGAAAAGACAGTATAAACATGAAAATGTGGCATTCAGTTTAGTAAAATGTCCCATAAACATGCACATTTTCAGGAAACAAGCAATAAAACTGCAGTGTGCATGAGACTGTCATTTTAGAGAAAGTCATTATGAACACAGCTGTATTAGAACGGACTTACCATCAATGTCTGGGCAGAAGTTGTTTAAAATCATATCCTTTTTAGTAACTGATCTACAGTTTGTCACAGGGTAGAGATGCTTTGACAATCCATACTCTGTCAGTCTGCCTGATGCCAGTGATGCCTATAACAAAGTATGCATCAAATGTGACTGTGACTCGTGCGTGTGTCTCTCTGTGTGTGTCTCTCTCTGTGTGTGTGTCTCTCTGTGTGTGTGTTCTCTCTGTGTGTGTGTCTCTCTGTGTGTGTGTCTCTGTGTGTGTCTCTCTGTGTGTGTGTCTCTCTGTGTGTGTGTCTCTGTGTGTGTCTCTCTCTCTCTTTCTCTCTCTCTGTGTGTGTGTGTGTGTGCGTGCGTGCGTGTGTGCGTGTTTGTGTGTGTGTATATACATATATATATATATATATAGAGGTGTGTGTATGTGTGTGTATGCATATACAAAAGAAATAAACAACATTTTTTTTAATGTCACACAAAAAACACATTAAAAAAATAGAAAAAAAAGCAATGAATGTGTCAAAAAAAAAATACATCTGTACTAGAGACACATATTTTGTGGGCCTATTAAATTATCATTGTGACTTAGAAATAACAATAATTGAAGACACTGTTGATGGAGCAGAGGAAGGGGTAAGTTCACACAATGTGGCTACAATGAAGGCAACCTGGGCATGAACAAGAATCAATCATATTTCCAGGAGACTGATGAGAGCTATGTTCAGTAAAGGACTTGCTACACGATGACACAAGACACAAATATTTAATAAACTTGACCGAAACTAACAGCAGCATACAAACCTTAGCAAAGGGAAAACAACAATTTTCAACACAACAATAACTATATTTATCAGTGTATAAAATACTCCATTGTATGAGACATACAATTGAAAGACATTTTTTATTCAGAAAACAAAAACAAATTAATTTCTTGCACCCATTTCAATATATAAGTCAAATTTCTGCCATTTTGCACTTTTTCCTCATTGTGCACACTTGCCTTTGTTTATTTTCCATATAACAGCTTGCTGAAACTGCCAGCAAGGCCTTATGATTTCCTCCCATCAGTGGAAAGCTAAAATGATATTCTGCTGACCTGTTGCTGTGCTCTTCGGCAAATTATATCACCGGAATTTAACATATCGTTGATGACAATTTAAAAAAAAATTTATTATCAGCATGTATATACCAACAACTGTTTACAAATGACAAAAACGTAAACAGTAATTAATATTAAAAAGTTAAAATCACAATGGTAGAGGACTACAAACATAAGAAATCTGTTGTTAAAAATTCAGGAGTCTCTGACCTTGCTTACAAAGACATAGGATTGTGGACCAACAGCCTTTCCATAGGCGCCAAACATTTTTCTTTGCCTGACGGGTTCAGGAGTTGGAATCGAGGCATTAGCAATACCTGCAGAACATTCAAACATGTACAGTTTTACCACAAGTGCTTTTTTTCCCATTTTAAACTAAAATCATTTTTTTTATTACTTAAAATGGTAACAAAGAATCATTTACAGAATTAAACTAGATTTGATCATTTTAGCTATATTAGGACTTGCTATGAACGTTTAGGGCAACATTTTATAACATTCTGATACCATACAAAAGATATTTAGTCTACCTATTTGCTTCAGTAAGAATTTCAAATAAACAATACATAATTTACCCTTTCCCAGTATGGTGCTTCAGTCCTATTTGTAAAGTCCGGCCATCTGCACACTAGTTGACCTTTCATTCATGCTTGCTCAGGCTGGTCTACATCAGAGGGGTGACAAACTGTAATGTTTTCTTCGAAAAGACTCTCTTGTGGGACCTAGGCTGAGGTTGTTGGTAGGGAGGTTTAGGTTAGGGCCAGTTCTGGATGTTCTGGGATCGTTGAAAGCAATGTCCTTGTATAGTTTAGAACAAGCTACTTCAGCACTGATCTAATTTCAGATAAGACAATGTGACACCCTCTGACTTAGACTAGCCTCAGAAAGCATGAACGAAAGCCCAGTTACATTATGTTTGGGCTAGACTTTGTAAATATAACCAGTGCTTCTGTTATATATTCTCTAAGAAATTTTAAATGACAAATAATAATCATTTTGGTTTGTTTAGGATTCTAATATTGTCTATGCAAGAAACCGACTCTATAATTACTTTTCAGAGCTTTTGATAGACATAAAACCACTTTTTCACTATTATCATTATTACATGCCACAGCAGAAGCTTCTATTTCCAATAAGTCTAGAATTTCAAACAAAACAAGCCGACTGCGACATTAATGCTAACCGGTTGGATCACCCTACTATCAAACATAATCAATAGATGACAAACTAAAATTTCACTTTTGTTGTTGCTGTCATAGGTTGGTAAACAACTATTATTAACCTACTACCTCACTGAACCATTATTACCACTCAAACAAAACAAGTACCCTCAGTTAGTAGTAGCAATCTGATTTATTTCATCATTACCACTCAAACAAAACAAGTACCCTCAATTAGTAGTAGCAATCTGATTTATTTCATCATTACCACTCAAACAAAACAAGTACCCTCAATTAGTAGTAGCAATCTGATTTATTTCATTATTACCACTCAAACAAAACAAGTACCCTCAATTAGTAGTAGCAATCTGATTTATTTCATTATTACCACTCAAACAAAACAAGTACCCTCAATTAGTAGTAGCAATCTGATTTATTTCATCATTACCACTCCAACAAAACAAGCACCCTCAATTAGTAGTAGCAATCTGGTTTCTTTGTAGTATCTAGCAAATGTACCAATCTGATGACATGCAGCACAACAGCATGGTGAAATGTGGTTTGTGTAGTGGTACTGGTGCTAGCAGGAATCTCTACACCATCTGCTGTATGGACACACTAGAAGTCAAGCCTTCAAGAATAACTGCCCAGCATACATTCACATAGTGGGATACCGCTTATGACACTCATTTGCACGTCCAGAATATTTTGGAAGCAGTAGTAGAACAGAAAACCATCTAGCGTACTGGCCCAGTCTGTCACCAAATAAATTTCATTTGTTTAGACCTTTGAAAAAAAAAAAAAAACTTTTGGAGCATAATGATTTCACACTGGAACAAATGACAATATGATCAAGTTGAACAAGGTGATTCAGTAAGCATTCAAAGTCCTTCTTTGTAGACGGTACATGCCAACACCCCAAACAGGAGGTTGCATATCTGATGAGACTCCTTCTGACAAACCGAGGCTTGTCCTAAATTGCTTTGTTGAATTTTGTCACACCTACTAATACATTTTCACTTGTTTATAATAAAGACACTGGGACAGGTTTCATTTGATCATGACTTGTACTGCAAAATTACACTTTGTGACACTGGTTTAGTGTGTCTATGGTACCTGCACAGAACAGACATTTTGGTTGATCCCTAGCTTTCACTTAAATTATTTATATATCCGTATTTTATGACTCTGGCAACTGTGGATAGGAAGGACTCACCCATTTGAGCCCAAGCAATTTGTCCCCCTTTAATGATCATCTCTGGTTTGGCACCAAATAGGGCAGGTTTCCACAAAACTAAGTCTGCCAACTGTCCAACCTTAAAGAAACACTCAAGTATATTACTTAGGGAAAAATATTTTACATCAAATAAAAATGTTTGGACAGATATATGACATGCACAATTAGCAACATTAAGAGAGAAAAAGAGAGAAAAAAACATTACACAATCTAACTAATGTGTGGAAAACGATTTCTTCTATTTCTTCTTGGCATTCACCAGCTGTAGTCTCCAGTAAAAAGTTCTGGTTAATCGTCCACTTGTGGACTTCAATCTTGCTCTGGAACTTGTGTTTTGCATGAATATACATTTTACAAATCTTACCTATTTGTATGCAGACTGTTAATTCACTGCCTGTCAGGCAGATGTACTCAAAATTTAAAAAAACAACAACTAATTAGTCAACTTTCACCATATGTTAGGGAGGTAGTGGGTCTATTCATCTATGATTCCTAAGCCAAAAGTAATAAATACAAATTTAATATATTTTAGCACCAAACAAAATGTGTCATACATAGCAGGAACGCCCAGAACTATATCAGTAGAGGTTGTAGAAGTAGCAACTGGAAATATGCCTCTGCACCTTAGAAGGAAGGAATAAGGTCTCCATTAGAGCTATCAATGACAATATCCACCCAGTATACAAGTCATTCATTCAAGCACAAATACCAGAATCCAATTTTAGGCCAAATAAATATATTCCCACAACTACTAAAATGCTTAGCAGATCTGACTGATTATCTGCATCCCTGAAAAATCTCTTCTATAATTATAACATTAATAACCCTCAGCTCCCTGTATGGCTCTTCAACTCTCCAGAGATAGATGAAAAACTTGCTATTGTCTTTAACAAAGAATCATGCCCTCAGTTGATAAAACATGTAGCTATGGAATACATACATCTAATAAAGGATAACTTCTCCACATACACAGATGGTTCCAAATGAAAAGACAACCAGTTAAGAATAGGATAATACATTCCACAATGGAAACTAAAGAAAGACTCAGCATAGCTGATAATTTCCCAGTTTTTATTGCAGAAATGATTGCTGTACTCAAAGCTCTTGAAATTATATATAAAAACCCATGCAAACAACTGAATGTTTTTAATGACTTGCAGTCAAGTGTTCAGGCTTTAGAAAACTCAAAAATATGCAGCAGACCAGACTTAATAGAGGAGATCTGTCTGGCTACCACATTTCTAAACACAAGAGTTGTCAGTGCAAGTTGTACAGATACCTAAACATGTGGCAATACCTGGTCATCAAGTTGTGGACTGGAGGAAGGGAAAGGTGAGTGTGTGTGGGGGAAGGGGGGGGGGGGGAGAAACAATAAAAATACTGTTCATGCAATCATGAACATGGGGACTTTAATCACTAATTAAAAACAATAAATTAAAAATGCATGTCAGAGGAATGGTCATTACATTGGGACCAAAGTCTGATAGGTAGACATTCATATAAGATGTTCTTGTTCTTCCTTTTCACTTACTCTGTTAATGCTTCAGGTGTCATGGGAGATATAAGTACGGCATACATTTTGCTTTCATGACTTATTAAAAGAGAGATGCCTCGGTACTGACTGCATTCTCGCTTGCTTCCTTTGTTCTTCTACAATGGTATAACTATTACATGCTCAATGAAGTATTCTGCTATTTCTGATGGATCTATTATTGGCTTTTCCGTGTTATCATTAATTTTTTTTGTTGGGTTGCAGCTCTCACCTCTTTTTTTGCATATCTTTGACTACTTTGAAAAAAATGCTGGCTGTTTTCTTATTTTCTGCTAATTACTCTCCAAAATGTTCCCAGGTTCTTGTTTTGCTTTCTTGATCCTTTGGTTGGTTTCTCTCTGTTGCAGTCTATAGTTTTTAAAATCTGTATCTCTTTTTGATTCTATCCACTTCTTAACAGATTCTTTTACTTCTTTGCACAACAAAGGTGAGTATTTGTTATAATTCCATCTGTTTCTACTGTTTCATTTTCCACACAATTCATCTGCAATACTAGGTGAGATCTTGATTTTATATTAACCCCATTCATCCTCAGACTGTGCTTTTTACTCTTTCTTGCTTCAGATTTGATATCCTGATGAGATCTTGGTTTCTAGGTAATTTATTTCTATTTTTCTTGAATGTCAGATGTTTTGCAGTTTAAACAGCTATTTTATGGTCAACCTTACAATGACCATTAATTAGGTGACAAGAATTCTCCTTCTTTCTTTAACTCTAGTTAGTACAATGTCAATCTGGTTCTTGATGGAGACACTGTTCCTTCTGTACCAAGTGTAAAGCTGTGAATCTCTATGGTTTAAAAAAAAAAGTATTTGTAATAACAAGATTGAGCAGGCTGCATAAATCCAATTTTTTTTCCCCAACCATTTCCATTTCTTGAACTTTTCTTAGCTGCATGTGAACCTGAACCAAGAAACTGTGTCATATGTCTTCTGTCATACCCACCCTTTCATTAAGTCTCCCTCTATATTAAAAATGCAACTACCTCACTTTATCTCTTCAGATTAATTGTTGTTTTTGCTTTTCTGTATAGTTATCATTGCAAGGTGCATTTAACTATTTATTTTTTGTTTGCTCTCTTCATTTAATTTTCAACGTTATAATTCTGTCAGAGTGATAACTGATGGTTGAATGAACAAATGAAGGAACAAACTTTACTTTAACAGGGTCAGAAATTAGGCACGCAGGCCTATCTTACATTCAGCCCTTCCAAACTCCCATCTTTCCCACAGCAGTTGTATTTGGTCAATAAAGCTTGTTATGTTCATGCAATACTATGCATATTATAAATATCAAGTCATAAACAAAAGCATGAGTGGTAAAATGCATGCATGCATGCGCACGCACACACACCCACATACACACGTAAACCTATTGACTCACTTACACACATAGGCACCCAATACACACATACACACACACATACATACACACACACATGCATGAGTACAGACATACACACAAATATTTCTATATATATATATATATATATATATATATATATATATATATATATATATATATATATATATATATATATATATATATATATATATATATATATATATAGATATAGATATATATATATATATAAATAAAGATATATATATACACACACACATTCATACATCACACACACTAAGACATGCAAACAAACCAGACACATACAAACACATACACACACAGCTATACAGACACACACACATGCACACACACGCAGCTGCACAAAAAGACACCTATAAACACACACACAGACGCACACAGATATAAACCCACACAGACCCATACACGCAGCCACAGGCACACACATAGACACAGGCAGGCAGAGACACACACAGAGACACACAAAGGAACATATGCAACACTCACACATACACATTCACAGACACACATACACACACACACACACACACACAGACATACACACAAACTAACACAAGAGACACACGCACACACAGACATTTTTAAATACACACCCATAGAGACACACATAGATACACATGAAGCTACACACTCAGAGACATTAACAGGCACAAACACAAAAATACACACACAGACACACCTAAAGACATATACATGACACATACATACACACACAGACACACCTATAGACATATACATAACACATACACACACATGCAGACACACACACTGACACACATAGACACACACATACAAACGCAAACAGACACACACATACAAACATACCCACAGATGTACAAACACACACATAGACACAAACATATAGACACACACATAGAGACATACACAACACTCACAAAGACATGCACACACAGAGGTGCACACACACACACAGACATCAAAAAGACACACACAGATACACACAAAGCTACACACACAGAGACACACACACACACACACACACAGACACACATCCACACACACTATCTGCTGCCTATCAGACAAAAATGACTTTATTAATGTCACTAAATTATCGTTAGTTTTTAAGGTTTTTAGTTTGCTAATTAAAATATTGTGACCAACCATGTCAAAGGCTTTCCTATAGTAAACTAATATTGCACTGCACATGTTGCCATTGTTGCCAGTTGTCTTTCATTTTTTCAACGCAGTATGACAAGAGTGTTTAGGTCTGAACCCTGACTGGCTATCTACTATTAGATTGTTGGGCTCTCCTGTCAACTACGGCTGGTAGACAACAGTAGACGGCCGGTTAGTCGGAGTTCTGTCCCCTGGCTGCAGTGCTATTACGGACTGGACAGGAGGATACGAAACAAATGACATAATTACTTTGTGTTGGCGATAGACAGCGTGCACTGCCCTGCTATAATCATACGGTTAGGGTTTGGTTTAGGGTTAGGGGTAGGGTTTGAATTAGGGGTAGTGTGTGGGTTAGGTTTAGTGTTAGGGTGTGGGTTAGGGTTACGGGTAGTGTCGCCGCACAAACTCAAAGTAGCAACCCACACCCTAACCCTAAAACTAACCCAAACCCTACCCATAACCCTAACCCACACCCTAACCCAAACCGTATGATGACAGTAGGGCACTGCACGCTGTATATCACCAACACACAGTATTTCTGTCACTTGTATCGTTCCCTCTAATTCACTCCGCAATGTGTCGCAAGAAGCGGCATTTGAAGGAGGTCGCTAATTTGAGTCGCAGCGCGGGGTCTGCTAGGCATGTCGACCTCACTTTGTGGTCTGATTCATGCCTTCTCCACTCCGTATTTGCACTGCAGTCAGGGGACAGAACTCCGACTAACCGGCCATCTACTGTTGTCTACTGGCAGTAGTTGACAGGAGAGCCGAGAAATAGGTCTATAGTTGCCTAGAGAATTGTTGTCAGCTGAACCAGGTTTAAGCAGAGGATAAACCTTAGCAATTTTAAATACTGATGGAAAGTAGTTCTTGGCAAGATACTGATTTTATACGAACGTAAAGGAATCACTAACAATTGGTACAGCACATTAGAGAATTCTCTGAATACATTCTTTTTACCATTTTCCTTGTATCTTATGTTGGCTAGCCCCAATAATTTGATTAATACTACCATAATGTCCTCATGGCACAAAGCCACACAATACTTCACCCAATCCCAGCAATCCCCAACTTTGTCCTGTTTACCACCTCAGTCCATAAGTAAAAACTGGGTTAGTAAATAATGGCCACATATAAACATTTAAAAAGACAAAAACAAAACTAAACAGGCTTCAAACTTTCAGGAACTGCGGGTTTATTCGCCATATAAAATTGGAACAGATCTATCATCACATCAAACATAATATATGCCCCAGGGAGAGAAGACAACACACTACAAATCTGAAGTTGAATAAAGAGATCATTATTGTGGAAGTAGCTGGTGAGAGTAGCTAAAGCTTTGAATTATATATTACCTAGTATCTTCTCTAATTTCTTATCCACTTTATTGTTATGCCTTTTCAATGTCCTCAAAGGTTTCCCTGCAATTTATATTTCTGAAGAATGATCATAACCCATAAGCTGGCTAAAGCCAAGACAAGTGCAAACAAAATTTGACACACACACACACCCCCCCTTCCCCAAAATACAAGTATTCAAACACCATAAATTATACAGGTAATGTTTTGTTTTTTTGGCTGACTGTCTTTCATCTTAAATTCCTGTTTCTCTTTGCCTTTTAGATTTGGAGTGTGTATTGTTTCTAAACTGGATTTTACTGTTCTCTTATTATGTCACACCTGCTAACCTTACCTGAACAGATCCAACTAGTTGAGACACTCCATGAGCAATGGCCGGGTTGATGGTATATTTGGCTACATAGCGCTTTGCTCTGACATTGTCATTGTCTCCCTATAGATGTACACAACACAATGATCATTAGTAACTCTTACCCATACCCACTAATACAATTACAATATTAAATGGGCTACAAGTGTAAATATGTTTAACATCCTTGGTGTTCAAATCAACTCCATTTATTTACGTAGCAGTATAAAATAAGTGTTTTTTTGCCAATCACCTATTTTAGCAGATATTCATCATACCTGATTCTAAAAAGTTAATAGTACGTTTACAATTCTTATCAGTAAATTTTTAATATAATATAATCATATTTCTTGGTAAAACCTAATCAAATTTATTAGTATTTTAGTTGAAAACACGGAACTGGATTAATATTCTGAACAATAGGACAGTAAGATCAACATTTTATGTCTTCCTAAATGTAAACAAGTTTCCTCTTTAATCCTCTATAAGTTGCATTTTAAAACTATAATCAGTATCTGAACTTATAAGAAGAAAACAATGATATTCTTCATCTTCATTCATTCTTAACAGAGTGACTGGCACACTGTGTTGTGGTTTACAGCAAGACTGTGATATCTGCACCTCAAGTCCTACACATCTGATTTCAGCATAATTATAAAGTTTCAATTACGACATGCTTGTTAGGGGTTAGTGAGTCTATTTTCTGCCAAATATAGGATTGCTGACACTCTAAAACGGACAACAGGGATATTTTACAAAAAGAGAACAAAGAGAACTGAGATGCAGGTCTAGCATTATTTAGTGTTAACAAAAAGCCAAATTTTTCTTTTCTTTTATTTAAATTTAAAAACAAAATAAAACAGTAATAAAAGTTCTGAGGTCTGATTTTGGGAAGAAATGTCAACGCATAGGTGAACACAGGACACTGATTACACATTGAGCATAACAATATGCTATATTATTCTTCAGTTAAATTCAAAATTATTTACATCAGGCTTTCATAAATTGAGGACTCAATATATAAGGATGTGTAATCAGGGACAAACCATATTAGTTAGTTAGTTGGCACATTATTATCATTGCACGTCGAACCACTCAGTCCATAAGTGCTTAGATCCCCTCCTCAGTAAATCTCACAGCATGTAGGGGCTGACGAAACCAGTTTTTGTTGGTTTATTATTATTCTTTGGCTACCCATGAAGTGTTCTTGTTTGCCCCCCCATTTAACTTATGTTCTTGCAGTCTGACCATGGTTGCAGATTCACTGTTCTCAATTGGTTCACACAAACATCTTAAATTTAATAGAGCATTAGTATATTGGTCTGGTCCATGGCTAGTCTGGCTTTCACAGTAGCCTTACCAGCAAGTCTATCAGCCTGCTCATTTCCTTGTACCCACATGTCCTGGCATAAAAATGAAACTAATCCTTGTCAGCCGTGAATGCTGTAGAGCCACCAACCACTGCCCTTCTGACCCACCCCTTCTATATCCTCCTTGGCATACACGTCAAGTCAGTGAAAAAGCATGCCCCAAAGAAAGTCTGTGTCTCTAGCCATGTCACTGCTTTAGTCACAGCCATGACCTCAATAGTCAGACTACTTGCAGTTACGGCAAAAGCTCCAGAATCTTCCTTCATGACTCTCCCTCCAACCTGAGTCGTGAAAGCCCACAAGCTTCTAACTTAGCGGATTACAGAACCATCTGTGTAAATGACAGCATCACCATCTAGAGCCTTCTTGAAAATCATGGCTTGAACTTCTGCTTCCACATCAGCCGCTCTGTTGTCTACATTTTCTGTCTAGTTGGATACAAACAGAAAAGGATATGCAGCACTCTGAAGGCACTTGAACCCACTCCTCGCCAGATTCTATGTCCTCAAGTGAACATGCCTGTAAAATAATTTCCTCAGCCTAACCCATCCATGATTTCCCTCTTTTCAACTTGCTGCCTTTAATCTTTTTAACTTCACTATGCAATGGATGTTGTGTGTACGCGTTGACTGTGAAGCTCTGGAAATTTATATTTTATCTTCCATGGTTGAAAAATCAGGAAGGCATCGCCATGCATGCTGTATCTCTTGTACACCCAAGCATAATGCACATAGCCTCGTTCTGTATCCTTTCCATTTTTTCCATCTGCTGATGGCTAATAGTCAAGATCGCCATTGCATATTCAAAAACAGAAAGGACCAGACCCTGATACAGAAGACACAGATGTGGCGCAGTGATTTCTGTCACAGGCGTGAGGTAAAGTAAAGTCCAACGTGATGTGTATAAGGAGTTACTCCGTACGTCACTCGGGCGCCAGTCCTGCACTGTTTTGGTTTTACGAAACCTCACGCAAGACTCCAGCACGTCCTCGTCGTGCGCCATGGTTAATGTTTCAAATGAGCATTAACAGAGCTGTCAGGGGATCTCAGAGTTGGGGGCCCCCAGAGGTGAAGTGTCCTTGTAGCTCTCATCAGCCCGCCCCCCAAATACATGGGAGAAAAAGCTTATCAAAACTCATTAGGAACATGAGTAAAGTGCATGCCAAACGTACAACTAAATTGACAATCCTCGGTTGAAAGTTTGTGGGGTAAAGAGAACATTGTGTTGCTGAGACTCAACTCTTGACCTAGAGATTTATCCGCAGCACAGACGAGTAACATCTCCTGTGGGTGGTGTCTCGCAGCAAGATTTTACCCATGTACAACCTCTGTCAACCCTCAGTGTCGTCACCACCGCGCTGAGGTACACCAAGACAGCAACCATCTAAAGGCTGGTTAAGCCCAAATGTCCAAAAAAAAGGGGGTACTCCGGGGGCAACACCTGTGGAGAAAGTGACAAAGAGGACACCACACAAATAAGGTAACATCTCGACCCACACAAAACAATGGCTAGTCATCCTAGAAATAGGCCTGACGTCTTCCCTCGAAGTCGGAGTACATCTGCCTGTGAGGCAGGGAACGGCAAAAGCCAGTAAAACGGTTGTACACGCAAAACTCAGGTCCTGGTAAAAGCCAAAAGTTCAAACAGACGATTAACCGGGACCTTCCGCCAGAATTCACAGCCGGTAAACGAAGAAGAAGAAGAAGAAGACACATATGACACTGCTCAGTTTGCCGCCGCCGCCATCACTCTCATCGCAGCCAGATTCCGCTTGGCTTTCATTATAATCTGATCTATGTGCTCCCTATAAGCAAGGCTTTGATCAAACTGTATCCCCAAGTATTTCATTTCCTGCCTTCTTTCCACAACCTCAAAAAACAGACTAACATCTGGTGTTGGAGCTTTCACAATATTGTTATTCAAAGAGAACCATGTCATTGCCGCCTTTACTGGGTTGACCAGTGCACCAGCTTCAGCACACCAGGTGCTTATACGGTTTAGTTCTTTCTGTAGTTTTTCCAGTAACTATCTCTCTACCCTTGCCCAAACCGTATTAAGGCAAGTAAATGTTCAAAAAGACTAGAAAAAAGAAAGAAAAAAAAAACTAGAAAAATGTGAAGCATCAAATGTTTGTCAGTGTCTGTGTCATTGTATCTAGTGTCAGGTAATATACTACAGAAATTACATCAACATATAATCAGAACAAAAACAGACTGAAATACACTTTTGACGATACTTTCAAGTGAAATACCCAAATCAGTCTAATATGAGCTGTACATTTCACAACCAAAGTTTTTTTTTTTCTTTTAGTCTTAGGTAATATTCTTCCATGTAGTTTATGATTGTTTTTCTTCCTTCTATTTCATTCTGTGTTTTTATTAGCAAGAATTATTTTTATCACCCCAGCTGTCTCCAAGCTGGGAACCTGTGAGCACTACAGACAGATTAAATTGATGATTTGTTGAGTGTTTGATATGTCCTGCTTTTTTTCTTCAGATTCTACAAATTTAATTATTTTTCAAGTCTCTCTCTTTCACAATTACTAATCCTCAGACGCATAGGGTGGTCTCTCAACCTATTAACTTGTTCTACTTGCTGGGTTCTGCTGTTTTTTCAATCTTGCTTTGGTTGTAGACCTGTAATATTGTCCATTTTGCTAAATTACAGGCTTCATGACTTGATTCACTGTCCCTGATTCTGGACTACTTATTCTGTTAAAAGTCTGATTTAGCTGCTGTTGCCCATGCTGCAATACCATATTCAGGGACTGCCCTCATTCATCCCCAGTATAGTTAGAATTTTCTCATCTACTTCTTATATTTTACCAGCAAACTTTTTCATGATTCCCATTCCTTGTCTTACTCTTCTTTGATTGATCTCAACCTGCCTTCCATGTCTGGTGACAGTCAAAGGTGACACTCAGGAATTTTGTATTTTCATCCGGACACAGTTACTTGCTTAGAACAAACAGTTGTTTAACATTTTGACTATTGAAAGATGTAAAGGCTGATTTCATATTCAATTTCTTCTCATTAGAATGATATTTTCAATATATGTCTTAAGTGAAAATCATTTGGAAGCCTTAAACTAAAAAAAAAGTTATGACACAAATCAGAAAAGCCAAAATAATTTAAGTAGTTAAAACAATATAATGACAATGTTAGATACAAATATCTGTAGAAAATAATACAGACCACTTCCTCTCCTAGCCTTCCTCTGAACAGTTTCATTTTGTCTGCAGTTTGCCAAGTTCTTGTGATGACCTCACCAATCCGACCCATGGCCTGACAAATTAGTGGATGAAAATATATCCCATTTGATTAGAGTCAAGCATACATGAAGCTGTGAAAGCGAATAATCTAAAATTTGTATTTCTTATCTTTTATTTTCAAATAAGTTCCAGAGAAGCATTTGTTATAGGGATTGTAATACGTAACAAAGTAATGTAAACACAAGAAATACTATCACTGAATACAAACTTTAACTAAAGAGCTCAACAAAAGAGGGAAAGAAAACCATGCACAGAAACAATCAGGTAATTGCAGCTCCTACCCAATAGTTGCTCTGTTCCTGTGTGCCAACAAACATCACATAGACAAAAATTGATACTGATTGGAGTCTTAACGAAGCCAATAGTATACACATACATTAAATGCATAAGGCAGCCATCAGATGTACGACACAAACAGTCTGTCACTAGAAATGCAGTTCATTGTCAATGGAAGCAGCAGTTAGAAGAGATCAGTAGTCTGGCATGAGCTTCTTATTTCATGGATTTTCAGAATGAACATAAGATATGTAGCACTTCTATGAACATCTGACTTCTTTGTGTTTTTTTCTTCAACAACTGATCCTTTTTCTGTGACACTGTTAGAAGTAGCATTTTCCAACAGTCTGCTGACCTCATCTGCAACATCTTATATATTTTCATTAAATAGCCTTCTCAAGATTTCTTGTCTCCTAACATGACCAAAAATGATTGTCCTATCCTCACATAATTGAAAAACTTGTAATGGGTTGCTGCAGTACTTGCTTGTAGAAATATCTATAGGATTCTAAGCTTTCTATACAGAAACCATATCTCTGTGGCTTTAAGTGTATTTCTTCTTCATTCAGTGTTCATAATTCACAAGTGAACTGTAGTATCTGAAGCATATAACATCATAAAAATGTTTTTAAAATTTCATGGTCAGGGTTAAACTCCGCAGAATGTACTTCATCAGATAAATTGCTGCTTTGTTTTAAACGCTGCACATAACATGTTGTCAACTTTTATTCTTGGTCTTTAGTCCATCCATATTCCACAAATAGAATAAAAGTTAATGTAAATTAAAACAGCCTGACTTGTTTGTCTTTTAGGCACAAGCAGATACAGTAACTGGTCGAATCTAAGACTTTGCACTTTGAAATCATGCTTCTGTTTCCAGAATTCTCTGTTAATGATTCCAAGATATTTTATATTTACACTGGGCAATGATTTATCTTATTTACTTAAACAGTTTCAAAAGAAACCTGTTTAGTGAATATTATGTGTTACATCAACTTAAAAATCATTATCTGGATGCAAAATAATGACCTGTGAATCAGAGCCCATCATGCTGATAGCGCCAAGATCATGCAAAATATCTTCAGCGGCAATGGTCTCGGCTCGAATCCTTGATTCCGCGAAAGCAACATCCTCTTTCAAGTTTCTACAAACAAATTTCAACAAATGAGTAAACATATTAATACTGGTAGATATTATCTCCTTCAGACAAATGAGCTGTTGGAAGTAAGGTTACAGCTGACAGTCTCCAGTTGTATATGTAGATATCCTTTATAAGTGACTTGAAAGTAACAGTGCAGAGATACCCTTCATGAGACAAATCAGTAGTTATAAGTAAGGTTACAGTTGAAAGTTTGCAGCTCTATCTGGAAATATCCTTTACGAGACAAGTGAGTTGTTGTGAGTAAGGTTACAGTTGATAGTCTGCAGCTCTATCTGGAAATATCCTTTATGAGACAAATCAGTTGTTGTGAGTAAGGTTACAGTTGATAGCTTGCAGCTCTATCTGGAAATATCCTTTATGAGACAAGTGAGTTGTTGTGAGTAAGATTACAGTTGAAAGTTTGCAGCTCTATCTGGAAATTTCCTTTATGACACAAGTGAGTTGTTGTGAGTAAGTTTACAGTTTATAGTCTGCAGCCTATATTAAGATTTTCCACATGGGGAGGTTGTTGTAAGTAACGTTACAGAGTACTGACTGCAGTTGTATATGACTGTAAATCTGCAACCATTACCAGACTGAAAGAATAACATATTAAAAGGGGTATAGCCAGACAAGAGCACTATGCAGGAAGCCAAAGAAGAATAAGAAACCTACACAGAACTGGTTTTGTGAGCCCCTACACACTGCAGGATTTACTAAGAAGGGGATCCAAACACTTATGGACTGAATGGTTTGACATGCAATGAGGATTATTTGTCGACTAACTAGTTGTATATAAAGATAAACTTTATGCCAAAAATGAATCAATGTAAATAAGGTTCCTACATGCCACACATGAGTCAATGTAAATAAGGTTCCTACGTGACATGAATGAATCAGTATAAATAAGGTTCCTACATGACACAATGAATCAATGTAAATAAGGTTCCTACATGACACAATGAATCAATGTAAATAAGGTTCCTACATGACACAATAAATCAATGTAAATAAGGTTCCTAAATGACACAATGAATCAATGTAAATAAGGTTCCTACATGACACAATGAATCAATGTAAATAAGGTTCCTACATGACAGGAATGAATCAATGTAAATAAGGTTCCTACATGACAGGAATGAATCAATGTAAATAAGGTTCCTACATGACAGGAATGAATCAATGTAAATAAGGTCCCTACATGACAGGAATGAATCAATGTAAATAAGGTTCCTACATGACACAATGAATCAATGTAAATAAGGTTCCTACATGACACAATGAATCAATGTAAATAAGGTTCCTACATAAAAGGAATGAATCAATGTAAATAAGGTTCCTACATGACACAATGAATCAATGTAAATAAGGTTCCTACATGACACAATGAATCAATGTAAATAAGGTTCCTACATGACACAATGAATCAATGTAAAAAGGTTCCTACATGACACAATGAATCAATGTAGATAAGGTTCCTACATGACACAATGAATCAGTGTAAATAAAGTTCCTACATGACACAATGAATCAATGTAAATAAGGTTCCCACATGACGGAATGAATCAATGTAAATAAGGTTCCTACATGACAGGAATGAATCAATGTAAATAAGGTTCCTACATGACACAATGAATCAATGTAAATAAGGTTCCTACATGACACAATGAATCAATGTAAATAAGGTTCCTACATGACAGGAATGAATCAATGTAAATAAGGTTCCTACATGACAGGAATGAATCAATGTAAATAAGGTTCCTACATGACAGGAATGAATCAATGTAAATAAGGTCCCTACATGACAGGAATGAATCAATGTAAATAAGGTTCCTACATGACACAATGAATCAATGTAAATAAGGTTCCTACATGACACAATGAATCAATGTAAATAAGGTTCCTACATAAAAGGAATGAATCAATGTAAATAAGGTTCCTACATGACACAATGAATCAATGTAAATAAGGTTCCTACATGACACAATGAATCAATGTAAATAAGGTTCCTACATGACACAATGAATCAATGTAAAAAGGTTCCTACATGACACAATGAATCAATGTAGATAAGGTTCCTACATGACACAATGAATCAGTGTAAATAAAGTTCCTACATGACACAATGAATCAATGTAAATAAGGTTCCCACATGACGGAATGAATCAATGTAAATAAGGTTCCTACATGACAGGAATGAATCAATGTAAATAAGGTTCCTACATGACACAATGAATCAATGTAAATAAGGTTCCTACATGACACAATAAATCAATGTAAATAAGGTTCCTAAATGACACAATGAATCAATGTAAATAAGGTTCCTACATGACACAATGAATCAATGTAAATAAGGTTCCTACATGACAGGAATGAATCAATGTAAATAAGGTTCCTACATGACAGGAATGAATCAATGTAAATAAGGTTCCTACATGACAGGAATGAATCAATGTAAATAAGGTCCCTACATGACAGGAATGAATCAATGTAAATAAGGTTCCTACATGACACAATGAATCAATGTAAATAAGGTTCCTACATGACACAATGAATCAATGTAAATAAGGTTCCTACATAAAAGGAATGAATCAATGTAAATAAGGTTCCTACATGACACAATGAATCAATGTAAATAAGGTTCCTACATGACACAATGAATCAATGTAAATAAGGTTCCTACATGACACAATGAATCAATGTAAAAAGGTTCCTACATGACACAATGAATCAATGTAGATAAGGTTCCTACATGACACAATGAATCAGTGTAAATAAAGTTCCTACATGACACAATGAATCAATGTAAATAAGGTTCCCACATGACGGAATGAATCAATGTAAATAAGGTTCCTACATGACAGGAATGAATCAATGTAAATAAGGTTCCTACATGACACAATGAATCAATGTAAATAAGGTTCCTACATGACACAATGAATCAATGTAAATAAGGTTCCTACATGACAGGAATGAATCAATGTAAATAAGGTTCCTACATGACAGGAATGAATCAATGTAAATAAGGTTCCTACATGACAGGAATGAATCAATGTAAATAAGGTCCCTACATGACAGGAATGAATCAATGTAAATAAGGTTCCTACATGACACAATGAATCAATGTAAATAAGGTTCCTACATGACACAATGAATCAATGTAAATAAGGTTCCTACATAAAAGGAATGAATCAATGTAAATAAGGTTCCTACATAACAGGAATGAATCAATGTAAATAAGGTTCCTAATGACACAATGAATCAATGTAAATAAGGTTCCTACATGACAGGAATGAATCAATGTAAATAAGGTTCCTACATGACACAATGAATCAATGTAAATAAGGTTCCTACACAACAGGAATGAAACAGGAATGAATCAGTGTAAATAAAGTTCCTACATGACACAATGAATCAATGTAAATAAGGTTCCTACATGACACAATGAATCAATGTAAATAAGGTTCCTACATGACACAATGAATCAATGTAAATAAGGTTCCTACATGACACAATGAATCAATGTAAATAAGGTTCCTACACAACAGGAATGAATCAGTGTAAATAAAGTTCCTACATGACACAATGAATCAATGTAAATAAAGTTCCTACATGACACAATGAATCAATGTAAATAAGGTTCCTACATGACACAATGAATCAATGTAAATAAGGTTCCTACATGACACAATGAATCAATGTAAATAAGGTTCCTACATGACACAATGAATCAATGTAAATAAAGTTCCTACATGACACAATGAATCAATGTAAATAAAGTTCCTACATGACACAATGAATCAGTGTAAATAAGGTTCCTTCACGACAGGAATGAATCAATGTAAACAGCGTTACAGTTGACAGTCTGCAGCTCTATATGATTTCTACATAAATGAAAGTTGGCCAAATGTGCAATTAAACGATGTTCTATCCTGCAATGAATCTGATGTTTTGACCATCATCAACTGCTTTGTGTAGATGATTATTCTGCTCTATTTCGTGCAATCTTCTACAGCACATATCAGTTATGTGCTGATTCCCTTTCATACCATTATAAAAGACAGTCAAGAATCTTCTTTTCTTTTTCTCTTGTCTCTTTTAATAAACCTTCCTAGTTAAGTTTTATCTTCTCATAACATGGCCGATAAATTATGACTGTCTGTTGTGATATTTGGAAATTATTATCACTGTTATAATTATGTAATTCCTTTTTGACTAGGCTGGTCATCTCAATCTGACTGCACTGTCTGCTAGTCCACCAGTGATTAATGAACTAAAGTCAACTCTAAAACAGATCACCATCATAATTTGTCTTTTCATGCTCAGCATTAGCGTCCTAACAACATATTTATTTTAACCAAAGTGCACCATCAAAATATTATTAGTTATATCAAAACAAGAAGCTGCAATGTGGCTCAAGTTTAAACTTCAGAAACATGTGAACATTTTCCAATGGATAGCTTATCTGAGGGTCCCAAGCTTAGTAAATGTAACTAAGCAAACTGGCTTTTCACCTGTCAAGATGATGGCAAACCATCAGCATATCCAGATGCTCGTCCAAAGTGTTCACTGTGTATGGACGAGTTGGGTTGGTGGATGAAGGCAACACATGCTCTATACCACATATCCTGTTGGTATGTGTTGAGATCAAGAATTAAAACACAGGGTCTAATATAAAGAAGAGAAGTCAGTATATCAATAGATTAACTTCAGATTTATTATAAAACAATTATAACACTGAATCAAATGAGCTCAGAAAAACTGTTGTCCAATTCTGTTATCAAAGACTTTGAACATGTCACAGAAAACAAGCATTACAAGTTGTCCGTAACTGTGTTTTTAAAAACTAGACTAACTACCTTAACTGGAAGGAATTCCACACCCTTTAAAGACAATCAAACAAGTGAAGTCTCCACAGTGGAGGCTGGCTGTTTGTGATAAATCTCCAGAGCTCACTTCTCCTGATCTATCTTCTCTCCACAATGGAGGCTGGCTGTTGTTAGTGATAAATCTCCAGAGCTCACTTTTCCTGATCTATCTTCTCTCCACAATGGAGGCTGGCTGTTGGTGCTAAATCTCCAGAGCTCACTTCTCCTGATCTATCTTCTCTCCACAATGGAGGCTGGCTGTTGTTAGTGATAAATCTCCAGAGCTCACTTTTCCTGATCTATCTTCTCTCCACAATGGAGGCTGGCTGTTGGTGATAAATCTCCAGAGCTCACTTCTCCTGATCTATCTTCTCTCCACAATAGAGGCTGGCTGTTTGTGATAAATCTCAAGAGCTCACTTCTCCTGATCTATCTTCTCTCTACAATAGAGGCTGGCTGTTAGTGATAAATCTCCAGAGCTCACTTCTCCTGATCTATCTTCTCTCCACAATAGAGGCTGGCTGTTAGTGATAAATCTCCAGAGCTCACTTCTCCTGATCTATCTTCTCTCTACATTGGAGGCTGGCTGTTAGTGATAAATCTCCAGAGCTCACTTTTCCTGATCTATCTTCTCTCTACAATGGAGACTGGCTGTTAGTGATAAATCTCCAGAGCTCACTTCTCCTGATCTATCTTCTCTCTACAACGGAGGCTGGCTGTTAGTGGTAAATCTCCAGAGCTCACTTCTCCTGATCTATCTTCTCTCCACAATAGAGGCTGGCTGTTAGTGATAAATCTCCAGAGCTCACTTCTCCTGATCTATCTTCTCTCTACATTGGAGGCTGGCTGTTAGTGATAAATCTCCAGAGCTCACTTCTCCTGATCTATCTTCTCTCTACAACGGAGGCTGGCTGTTAGTGGTAAATCTCCAGAGCTCACTTCTCCTGATCTATCTTCTCTCCACAATAGAGGCTGGCTGTTAGTGATAAATCTCCAGAGCTCACTTCTCCTGATCTATCTTCTCTCTACATTGGAGGCTGGCTGTTAGTGATAAATCTCCAGAGCTCACTTCTCCTGATCTATCTTCTCTCCACAATAGAGGCTGGCTGTTAGTGGTAAATCTCCAGAGCTTACATTTCCTGATCTATCTTCTCTCCACAATAGAGGCTGGCTGTTGGTGATAAATCTCCAGAGCTCACTTCTCCTGATCTCTCCACAATGGAGACTGGCTGTTGGTGATAAATCTCCACAGCTCACCTCCTTATCTATCTTCTCTCTACAATGGAGGCTGGCTGTTTGTGATAAATCTCAAGAGCTCACCTCCTTATCTATCTTATCTCCCCAATGGAGGCTGGCTGTTTGTGATAAATCTCCAAAGCTCACTTCTGATCCATCTTCCCAATGCTCTGGTCATACACTCAGAATGTTCATCCATATCGTGTTGTCAGCTTCCCATTTGTATAACTATTAACCTCATACTCACTTTTCTTTTCCTATATTCATCAGTACAGTTTTTACAAGGATGACATGTCTGTCAATATTGCCAACATGTGTATTGTTTTTCCATTTACTCTATTATTTTAAATCAAATTCTTTCTAGAACTCTTGTATTGTTTGCTCTAATTCTAAAAATTGCTAGCTATATTTCTGTACATCCTTTTTTCTAGAACACCTCTATGATTGTTTTGTCGACTGAACCGTACCGTGCCCCATTGTTCAGTATATATAGCATCACTGTGTGTCACTGGGGCCCTCACGGTAATAGTAACACTGCACCCTACTAGGCATGTTGTAAGAGGCAACTAAGGGTAGTGGTGGGCTTGAGGTTGGCTAATCATTCTGTAAAAACAATAGCCACAACAACAACAAATATAGAAAAGTCAAAGAGATGAACAATTAAAACCCCGCCAACCAAGATGAAGGAAGTATGAAACAGTGTAGAGAAAACCAAAAGGAAAAAGGATCATAGACGTACCTCCTTTCACCAAGGAAAATCCCCAGAATTGGTACCTGAAATGTTAGAACTTTGTACAATGCAGGAGAAACAAAGGAGATATTGAGAGAAATGAAACATTATAGAATTAGTTTGGGGCAGGTAAAAGTAGTCTAAATTCAGAGGAAATGTGTTTGTTCTCAGTACATAAAGAGTATGTGAAGGAGTGTCCCTGATGCTATCTAAAAAAGCAGAGAAATCACTAATAGAATGGGAAGCTGTGAGTCCTAGAATAATAACAGAGTAATTTACAACAGTGAAACAGAAGTTGAACATGTCGGTGATACAATTTTATGCACTAACAAATGGTAAGGAAGAATCAGTTAAGGAGCAATTTTACACACAATTTCAAAATATTATAAGTAATGAAAGAAAGAGCAATATAAAAATGTTGATTGATTTTGATTTGATTTGATTCAAGAACCGACATCACAGCACTCAGGGCATTCCCATAAGCGCTCCGTCCCCATCTTCAGCAGCCAGTGAAGAGTTCCGATACTAATGGTGCCAGTAGCTTTCTGATTAAACGTCCGTCTTGCCTTTCCTCTGAGCCTCGAGCTTCTGCCAGAACCTCTCGTCACCCCCAACTGCATCAATCTCACCAGACTGTGGTGATCCATCTGGTGATCCGAATTGTACACGCTCTTCCACAAGGCACTAACCACCTCTGCCCTTTCATGTATCAGTATTCCACCAAGTTGTGCAGAGCCAGCCAGTCTGTCCGCCTGTTCATTTCCCAAAACACCGGCGTAACCTGGTGAAAAAATCCAGATAATACTCCTCACTCGTGTCCTCCGCAGCGAAGCATGCCACTCTGCATGAAGCATACCTGTTCTGATTTTCCTCAGCATGCTTTCTGAATCAGTTACAATCACGATGTGTGTGTGTGTGACGTGATCTCTAGCCAGCGGAAAGCTGCAGTGACCGCCTCCACCTCCATTCTTAAGCTTGATGTTGTTGTATCATATGCTAGGCTCTCCTTCACCAAACGTCGACCATTAACTTTTGCTAAGAAGCCCCAAGCACTTCTTTTGCCTCTTGACACTGAACTGTCTGTGTAAATGATCAAATCCTCTGAGCGAGCATTATCTTGAATTAATTGCTGAATTTCCACCTCTGTGGCACCTGCTGACCAGTCTCTGCATTCCCGGCTCAGCGTGATTATGGCTCTACACAAGTCTGACTGCTCAGGTGGCACTTTGACCCACTCCTCTCCTCGCCTAATGTTCTCAAGGATGCAAACCTGTCTGTGTCTTCTGCCTGAGCCATCCATGACCTCCCTAAATACTAAGACAGGATTAGATAAACATAGGTTATGTAGAGATTATGAGGAAACATAGATGAGGAGTAATGAATGAAAATTAAGATTTTTTTACAAATTGTTGTGCTGGAAACCAGTGTGTCATTGATAGCAGCATTTTCCGACATACAAGAATATACAAGGCAACATGGGAATCACTAGACCATAAGACAACAAATCAAATTGATCATTTATGTTATAAATTCAGATCAGGCCTTTATGATGTTAGGGCCTTCACAGGTGCTTGTGTATTTTCTGTTGGTAAGTAAAATCAAGTTCAAACTTAAAAGATATATAACTGTAACATATCATAATCATAGAAACCAGTATAATGTAGGTTATCTCAAAAATAAAGAAGTTAAACAATTTTCATTTACAGTATTGCTGCAGTTAGCTGAAGAAGTTAGCATTTAAGTCTCCTGGGATCAGATTAAACAAATCTGGAATGAATCTTGTATAGAAGTCCTTGGTAAGATAGAACAGAAATATAAAGCGTGGATACCGCCAGAAACCATTACAATTATCAAAAAAAGGAAAAGTGAAAAAGCAGATTTAAACAATAGCAAAACTAGAGCTGCTAAAGCTAAAGCTCAGGAAAAATACACAGACGCTAATAAGGAAGTTAGAAGGCGAAAAAGGGCAGACAAAATGAAATATTTAGATGACCTAGCATAAAAATCAGAGACAGCAGCAGCAAAAAGAAACCTCAGAGATCTTTACAGTAACACAAGGAAATTAGTAGGTATAGTCAGCTAACTGGATCAATAAAAAATAGACAAGGAAAAGGTGTCATTTCCATCTACACCAACACTAAAGATCAAATGGACAGATAGGCTGAATATTTTGAAATACTTATAATCAGACCAGCCCCAGAGGTTCCTCCACACATCCAGTCTTTAGGAATGGAACTAGATATTAACTGTGAGATGTCATCTAAAGAGAAAATAGAAAAGCTATCAGTCTTCTGAATAATAAATATTATATTTTATATATGATATATTCCCATTTCCCCCCCCCCCCCCCCCCCCCTCCCCTTTCCCTATATGTACTTCTTGTTTTCATGCTGACCTAAGTTGTTTTTGTTTTTTTAATTAGCTCTGCTGTTCTTGTTCGCTGAGTTTTCTAGTCACAATTTGTGCTGTATTTAGTACTCTGTTGATATAGACTTTGGTCAAAACATTTTGTTGTGTTTGTGTGTGTCTTTTGCATTCCTTCTGTTGAGCTTTATAGTCAAATTTTGTGTTATATGCAGCATTTCTTGCAATCAGCTCAACTGTAGTCACCCCTTATTTACATCATCGCTTCAAGAACTGAAAAAAAAAAGATGCACAAAATCAGAACTGATTTGACCAACATTTATTTGCTTACTTGATAATGTCGGGGGCATGACCACCTCCTGCTCCCTCAGTATGGTAGGCATGAATGGTTCTGCCTTGAAATGTCTCAATAGTCTGCTCAACACATGCAGACTCATTCAGTGTGTCAGTGTGTATCATGATCTGTCAGCATATACAAAGATATTCACAGAACTGTCAACAGAACATCAAATCCAATGGTAACATTCATTATTAATTTAAGGATGACACACATATTATTGTAAAATACTTATTATCAATACATATTATTATTATTAATTCACAGGTTTCATATCCATGGAGTAGGAGTGGTTTAGTTGTAGAGATATGACACTTGATTGTAACTCAACAAATGCAGGATTAAGAGTCAGCTGTGTTGTGTGCTGATTCATGTGAGCTGTAACCTTGGGGCAGGATAACACAGTGGGAATGGTGTTGTCAGGAGTCTACGAGAATGTTCGGTCACCTGTGTCAATATGTTACCCAGTGGTTACTCAAGCCAGGAAATATTTATTGGTCGAGTTAATATTTTGCAAGAGAAAAGGGATTTGACATGGGATGGACCCGATAGCATGACTTGTACGAGTTAGCCTCTGATGCATGGAAGAAGGAAGGGATGCGTCTTAGCGTGCTTCTCATGTGGCCCGAGCCGCCTACAAGGGGCAAGCAAGGGTATATACTGGGGGTTTAGTGGACCAGAGACAGACAGAGTACCACGGTACGAGTCAGACGGTGAGGTCTGAGCCAAGAGTCTCAGTCGCGATGCAGTCAAATGAAGAGAGTCTAGGCGGCAGAGTCAGGCCACGAGGACTGGATAATCAAGAGTAGCTGTTTTGGGTGACGACTCAGGGAGGCTTAAGCTCACTAGTGAAACAAGACAGCAGATGCTGATCATTGATGTTTCATGGCTCCCATCCTGGTATTAGTGTAAATATCAAAACCTACTCCTATGCTAAAATAATTATACAATGTGTTGATCCTGGTATACATATAATGCAATCCTGATTGAGGTTACAGAGTTCAAAGATAGCTTCCCCTCACAGTATAATCTGAAAGGAGATTTTTAACACTTGCAGACTTTTTACATGCAATAAAGATGACCTTTAATCCATTCACTGAAACAGTCAACAGAACACTTTACTCGCCTGTATATCAGCTTTCTCTGCAATGTTGAGGCTGGCATCAATAACAGCAGGTGTGGTCCCCCAGTCTTCATGAAGCTTTAGACTTTGCAGAATAAAACAATCTTTAATTAACAAAAAACTTACTGATATCACAAAAAATTGTGTGCCATACTTTATAAATTAGAACTAATCTCATTCATAACAGTAGTCATAATACAAACTTGTATCCATTCAGAACATTTCTTTTTCAATACAACAACTGAGTGTAAACAAATTAAATATTCATAACATGCAAGGGACCAGGCAAAAGTCTAGACACATTCAATGCTCCTCATGTTTGTACTGAATAAATGAAGTTTGCATTTATTTCTTCAGTGAGTTCTCTTACTATGATACATAACATCACAAAACTTACACACCAGAATTGCTGCTCCAATGATTTGTTATATCAAGTTTTTTAAAAACCACTGCATGATCAAATCATAATATTATAGAAATGTGTAAGTACATATTTGGGGATGGATCCAGTGTTTCATTAAACGTTACTGCTATCTGCAAAGACTATTAATAGCTGTCCTCAGAAAAGTGTGTATCTTGGTTATGTGTCTGTTGACACATGTACAGAAGCAATCAAGGGTAAACTTATGTTGAAGGTTGCTCAAAAATTATCAGTCAGAAATGTTTTCACGAATATGGTCAGCAGATAAGACCTGGTTCACCATTATGCCCTCCTATTCTTCTTCTTCTTCTTTGCGTTCACCAGCTGTACATTCTGGCGTAAAGTTCTGGTTGTTCGTCCACTTCTGGACTGCAGTCCTGCTCCAGAACCTGAGTGTTGCATGTGCATCAGTTTTACAGATCTGATTCTATTGAATGCAGACTGCTGGTTCCTTGCCTCTCAGGCAGATGCACTCCGACTTCAAAGGAAGCTCCCCAGTTAGTCGACTCTTACGACATGCTTTTGAGGAGGCAGTGGGTCTATTCTTGTTTTCCCCACAATAGGACCCCGGAACCCACACGGGGGTGCCCTCCTATTCAAAATTTATATCCTGTAATGGAAACATCAGGTTCTTCCAAATCTGTTGAAATGAAGAATATAGCAATCTACAAGAAAGGTGATGTTCTGGTTCGGGATTTTAAAAAGTTTCTAGTCAAGAAAATTATGAGTCTCATACACTGCAATTAATGGATAATACTGTATAGATGAATATCCGGTGAAAAACCTGGCCAAGATGGCAGAATAAGCTGCGGCTATCACTAAGCAGTTTTGATAAATTTTGTTTTAGGGGATTTCATCAAATTATTGTTCAAACAAGGATGATCCAATGACAGGCCCAGCAAGTTGGTAGGGGATTTGTTTGTTCAAGCACCATTGCTCAAGATTTATGGTGTATTTTGAAGAAAAAGTGTGATTACACCAGCGCTTCAAACTGCCACACACAAGACAGAGTCATGAAAGAAACACCGGCCAAGATAGACAGATCCGGCATGACAGTTTTTAAGATGGCTACATGGAACGTTTGTGGTATGGGGGGATAAAGTGGCTGAATTGGTTGAATTTATGATTAAGAGTAAAATCAAAGTTTTAGGAATTGCTGATATCAGAAGAAAAGCTCAAGGCGTCCAGAAAATTCATAAGAACTTTGTTCTGATTTGGAAAGGGACTCAACCACAAGAAACTAACAAACATGGAGTGGGTTTTATCATTGCTCCAGAAACAGAGAAATATTTACTAGATTCAGAATTCGTGTCAGAGAGAATCATAAGTATCAGACTGGCTGCAGGTAAAAGAAGAGTATCGTATGTTCAAGTATATGCACCTTGTAACAACACTTACACTGAAGAAGAAAGAACGGAATTTTTTGACCAACTTAATGAAACCATCAATAAAGTTACAGACACTGATGGCTTGTATGTGATGGGAGATTTCAACGGACATATGGGAGAACGTCGACCTCCATGGTCCACATATATGGGACAATTTAGTGACAAAGAAAATAAATGTAACAACAATGGAGAACAATTACTCAATGAATGTGCAGAGCATGAACTAATTATCAGCAACACGTTATACCAACATAAGAGAAGCAAGATATTGACCTGGTATAAATGGAATAATATTAACCAAGCATCGCAGATAGATTTTATTCTCACAAAAAAGAGCGACAGATGGAGAATAAAGAACTCCAGGGCCATCCCAAATTCAATAATAGACTCTGACCATAGACCTGTAGTACTTTGGCTCTATAAACCAACAAGAATTTGCATTGATAAAACACCACAGCTAATGGATCAGATAGCCATAGAGAAACTAAAAGACAAAGATGTGGCAATTCAAGTTGAGGAAACAGTTAAAAACTCCTTCAGTACTCTAGAGAGGAAATGACATATAAGAAGAATGGCAAATTTTTAAAACCTGCATCCTGAATGTAATGACAGAAAAGTGCGGACTCCGAAAGCCAAGAAGGCACATGAAACAAACAGCATGGTGGAATGAAGAAGTTAAAATTTCTATCAAAGAAAAGAAGAAATATTTTCATCCGTGGCAAAAGTCCAAATTAGATGAGGACTACATCAAATATAGAAAAGCAAGAGCAAAGAGCAAGAGGAAAGTAAATTCTGCGAAATCAGAATCATGGGCAAACTACGGAGAACAATTAGCAAGGCTATGCACTGATTCACCAGGTCAGTTCTACCGAAGCATCAAGGCTATGAGACTGAGAGAAGGGAAATTTAACCCATCAAAGATCATAAACAGCAAGGTTAAAAAACCACTCACCAAATCCCAAGATGTTAAAAGAAGATAGCAAGAATATTTTTCTGAATTACTGAATAGTGGACCACAAGAACCAGTGTCTAATAAAATAAAAGTTGGACAAGAACAAGAACCTAATATATTAGAATCTGAAGTTGAAAAGATCCTAAAGCAAAGCAAACGAAACAAAGCGGCAGGAACAGATGGTATTACAACAGAAATAATGCTTGCATGTAAGGCAACAGCAGTAAAATGGCTGACAAGAATATTCAATATGGCCTGGGAGGAAATGAAAGTTCCCGTTGACTGGCAGAGAGCAATTATAGTTCCCATATGGAAGAAGAAAGGTGATAAAAGAGATTGTGAAACATACAGAGGTATCTCTTTACAAAGCCATGTAGGAAAGATGTTTGCAAAAATATTAGAACGAAGAGCGAGGGTGATATTAGAACCTCAATTAAGTAGCAATCAGTTTGGATTTAGAAAAGGAAAGAGCTGCACTGATGCAATATTTACTCTTCGGCAAATTTGTGAACAGACAATTGAATATAATAAACACCAGAATCTTATATTCATTGATCAAGAGAAGGCTTTTGACAGGGTTAACAGAAATAAACTATGGAACATTCTTGAAGAATATGGTGTACCGTGTAAATTATTGGGAAACATAATGGCTCTCTATCAAAATAGCCAGAGCGCTGTAAGAACAACGGAAGGTATGATGGTTCCCCATTACATCAGGAGTACGACAAGGATGTGTCCTATCTTCATCACATATATGGATGAAATTGCACAGGAGTCAAACCAAAACACAGATATTATAAATCAACTACTCTTTGCAGATGACCAATGTTTGTTACAAGAAGAAGAACAAAAACTACAACAACATGTTGATTCATTGCTCACTAACTGTATAAAATTTGACATGAAAATAAACACCTCAAAAACTGAAGTAATGACCATAGGAAAGAAACACAGTAATGTAAACATAAAGATCAATGACATACAATTAGAACAAGTTCAAGAATTCAAGTACTTAGGATGCATATTTACAGAAGATGGAAGACTCGATAAAGAGATACAGGCTAGAGTTCAAAAAGCCAATGCAGTCAACTACCAACTGGCCCCACTTCTTCGTCATCCAAAGATCTCGTTACCAGCCAAACAACAGATGATCAACAGCATTTTCATCCCTACGTTATGTTATCAGTGCCAGACGTGGACAATGAACAAATCACATATGCAAAAAATAACTACGTGTGAAATGCGATGTCTCCGAAGAGTCACCAACAATACACGAAGAGACAGAGTCACAAACGTCAGCATTAGAGACAAAGTTGGAACAAGAGCATGCATAAAACATATTGAAAGACAGAGAATGAAGTGGTTTGGCCACTTAGTAAGAATGCAACCGGATCAGATTGCCTATAAGGCCTTTTACAGTAACAAATAAGGAAAGAAAACCCCAATGTCAACATCAACCAAGCAGAGAGACTGGGCTAAAAACGGCATCCATTGCCAGTGGCGGTGATAACATCGGAAGGAGAACACATCCCGGATAAAATTTACCTAAATCAAAGAATGCAAAGACCAGAGCAATATGTGCCACAGGTGATCCAGTGCTCTCGTTGTCAAAAAGCATGGCACTCCCGGGCCACTTGTGTGAGCGAACATGAAGTATGCCGACACTGTTCACAACCCCATGCCTTCAACAATTGCCCGCTGGCAAAGCTGGACACAGACTTTAGGTCTCCCAATCCGAACAGAAAGTGCGCAAACTGCTACGGCCAGCACAGCACCAGATACCTGGGGTGCCCCTATCTGCAACAATGCAGATAAATAGCAACCACGGCCATACGGGAAAAGATTCCATACCATGAGGCCCGCAGAAGACACGAAGCAACCCAAGGCATAACTGCAGCCATTACCACCAAATTGAGCAACGAGGTGGCTCAACTCAAAAGTGACATTCAAGCTCTCAGAGACGAGAAAGAAGCATCCAAATCCCAACGAGATGAAGACAGAGATGAAATAACAGGCCTGAGAGCTATAATGCAGGCGACTCTTGACACCCAGAAACGGATGACAGCAGAGATGACGAAATTTAAGGAGGACATCATGAATGCACTGGCCACTATCCAGACACAAAAGGAACAACCAACTAAAGCAAGGGAAGACGAGGCGGGCATCAATGATCTGCGGGATAACCAACAACTGCTCGCAAAAGAAGTCACAATGATCAAGAAGGCACTAGCTGAAACAGAGGAAAAGTTACGTAGAGCATACGAAGAAAACAACAGACTTAATAAGGAACTGCAAGCAACCAACAGAGTGATGGAAGAAAGAGAGAAAGCACGGAAAGAGGCAGCAAGAAGGCAGCAAATACAGGGAGCTGAGACCCAGAAAAAGCCACATCAAACACCAGATAAGAAAACACCAACGCCGCTGATGAAACAGTTTCCGGTCGAAACTACTAATCAAATAAACCAACGCATCAGGCAGCTGGAGGACCCGAATGATGATGTTCTATGGTCATCACCAGAGGAACCACATCGACAGCCAAAACCTGAAGCCAAACGAGGTCGACACCGTTACCTCAAACACTAATACCAGATACGACACAACCAAGGCCACAATTACCGAAACCCTATGTAGGAGTAGTACTTTACAACAAGGATACGAGAAAATCACCAAATAATACCAGACCTCACCAGTATTGCCATCAGTACCTGCCCAAGTCAATCAACCGCCGGTCCTTCTTAGGATAGGCAATTTACTTTCCCCGGAAACAACAAACAGCCAAGGAATACCACAATAAATCGATTCAACACCCAATCATCTGGAGCGCAGTACAGGGCCAGCCAAATTACAAAAGCAACAGCAAGAGCGGAAACCACAACAAATAGAAAGCGACCAATATTGAACACAATCCAAAACCAAATGAGATCGAGACCAGATACGTCACCACAAATATAGCTGAAAGGAAAGTGAGCAGAAATGTGATCTGACCTAGCTGAAAGTGGTCAACGAAAGAGAATTTGAATTTGAATTAGAACATCGGAAAGAAAGGCCAGAGGAAGACCCAGGAAAAAATGGATAGATTGAGTAGCTGAATACGGCCAGAAGATCCAGAAAACTGTCACTCAAATTACGCGATAGACACAAAACAAATATTTTAAACCACGACACTGGGCTGCAACCCAGTAAAAGTGAAGAAGACGATAGATAGACTGTATAGATCCTATCTTCCAGACTTGGTTTCATTGATTTTTTATTACTCGAATATTATAATAAACAGCTCAAGGAAAATCATGTTGAAAATTATGAAGTTATACTGGTAGGTGTTAAGTGGTTTAATTAGAGAAATAGGTTATTCTATTCCCAAGGTCTTTTCAATGTCAAGTATACACGGCATAATTGTGTCAGTCTAAACAGTAGCTGTATTTATAAAGCACAAACATTGTGTACAGTGTCAGTTCTCAGAAACCTTTCTTTCATAGCTGGATTCAAGACATAGCAAGTTCCATGTAAATGAAAATCTATTTTACTCATTCAACCTTCAAAAAGTTTTAGTGCTCCTCTTATTTTGAGCTAAGCTAACAATGTTTATCATTTCTTTTTGACATGTGCAAATGCCCAGTTCTGACCAATCATCATCATGTAGCATGCCCTCTGTGGAATGTTGGTCTCATCATGGTCTGCATGAAAGAAACTCAGTCTCTTACCAACTCTTCTGCCTTGTGCACTTTCATATCTGAAGAGTCACTTATCTTGTGCCCATCTTCGTGTAGGTCAGCCCCTGCCCATACTCCCTGGCACCACGCCTTCTGTTTTTATTTTTAAAATTTGCCGTGGTGCTTGATATTACCAAAATATTTCAGCTTCTGAAATAAGATCTTGTTTATTAGCACCATGCCTTTTGTTTTTATTTTTCAAATCTGGTGCTTGACATGACCAAAATACAAGCTTCTGAGATAAGATTTTGTTTTTTAGCCAATCTTCCTTGATGTTTAGATCTTTTAGAATAACAGTATTTCTTATTCTTGTTTAGTCATGGTATTCTGGGAATGTTTTTATAACATTTTAGCTCAAAAACTGAAACTAATTTTGACCCATTCAGACATAATAAAATAATTATAATGTTAGTATTAAACTTCAGGAGAAAAAGAGGGCTAAAAGAGATAACTTTGTTCAGGAGGTTTTTGCTCTTGGTCATTACTGAAAATTATCCAGATACCAAAGATATGTTGAAGTTATTGGACTTGAGTAGCTTCAACACATTTAGGTCCCCAAACCTACTCGTGCATTTATTGGAAGGGCACCTCTGGTTGGTCTGAGAACATAACAGCAGGCATGAAGAAGCAGTTCCTTCATTTGCAAAATAAAATTATCAAATGTGGAAACACATTTTTCACTTGCTTGAAAATCTGTTGTATGGACAAGGCAGATACTGCTTCATTTAGGTACAGAGTTACCTACTTTCTCTGGTGGATACTTAACCACTTGAGTAACCCCATTCTGCCACTATACTGTGCACTTCAGAGTTTACATATGAGTGGAGACCAGTTTGCCATTTTAATTCTCTCTAGTTCTCTTTTTTTTATGTAAGCATTGTTTAATGAATGAAAATGGAGAATTGTTCACAAATTTTTGTGCAGGTAACTAGTATGTTATTGGTGGAAGTATTTTTCCCCATAAAAGAATACACAAGGCAACATGGGAATCACCAGACCATAAGACAACTAATCAAATTGACCACATATGTATTAACAAAAAGTTTAGATCATCCCTTTACGATGTTAGGGCTTTCAGAGGTGCAGATGTATTTACTGACCATTTCCTGGTGGTAAGTAAAATCAAGTTGAAACTAAAAAGATATATAACATCTTATAATCATAGAAACCAATATAATGTAGGCTTTCTCAGAGATAAAGAAATTAAGGAACAGTTCTCAGTTACGGTCTCTAATAAGTACCAGGTGTTGCAGCAGTTAGCTGAAGATGTCAACACAAAAGTCTGCTGGGATCAGATCAAAGGAATCTGGAATGAATCTTGCGTAGAAGTTCTTGGCAAGAAAGAAAGGAAACATAAAGCACGGATAACACCAGAAACCATTAAACTGATTGAAGATAGGAAAAGTAAAAAGGCAGAATTAAACAATAGCAAAACCAGAGCTGCTAAAGCTAGAGCTCAGGAGAAATACACAGAAGCCAACAAGGAAGTTAGGAGGCATTTAAGGGCAGATGAAGTTAAATATCTAAATGATCTAGCACAAGAAGCGGAGACAGCAGCAGCAAAAGGAAACCTCAGAGAACTTTATAGTAACACAAGAAAATTAGTAGGTAAATATAGTCAGCCAACTGGATCAATCAAAAATAGTCAAGGAAAGGTACTTACTAACACTAAAGATCAAATGGACAGATGGGTGGAATATTTTGAAATGCTTCTAAATAGACCAGGCCCAGAGGTTCCCCCAGATATCCAGCCTTTAGAAATGGAACTGGATATCAACTGTGAGATACCATCCAAAGAGGAAATTAGAAAAGCTATAAATCTTCTCAAGGAAGAAAAGGCGACAGGCCCAGATGGTATCCCAGCTGAAGCCATCAGGACCAACTTAAACACATCAACAGAATTGCTACATAGATTATTCAGTAAAGTCTGGGAGACCGAAGAAATACCAGCAGACTGGAGAGAAGGATATCTTGTGAAACTGCCCAAAAAAGGTGATCTACAGGAGTGTGAAAACTATAGAGGAATTATGTTGCTGTCAGTTCCTGGAAAAATATTAAGTAGAATTATTTTGGAAAGCTTAAAAGATGCTATTGATAAAATGCTAAGAGATGAGCAGGCAGGTTTTTGGTCAAACAGATCCTGTACTGATCAGATAGCCACAGCAAAGCATTGAACTGAACTCACCACTTTACATTGGATTTATAGACTATGAAAACACATTTGACAGCATTGATAGGGAATCTCTCTGGAAATTGATGGGGCACTATGGAATCCCACAGAAAATTATCAACTTAGTAAAGGCAACATATAAAGACATGAAATGTCGAGTTCTTCATGAGGGGAAGCTAACAGATGCATTTGAAATAAAAACAGGTGTGCGACAGGGATGTCTTTTGTCGCCTCTCTTATTTTTACTGGCTATAGACTGGACTATGAAAACAGTAACTGCTAATACCAAAAATGGAATTCAGTGGACCCCTACAAAACAGCTTGATGATCTAGACTTCGCTGATGATATTGCTCTTCTGTCCCATTCATGGAATCAGATGCAAGATAAATTAATTATACTTAATGCGAGATCACAGCAGCTTGGTCTGAAAATCCATAAAGGAAAGACAAAGATAATGAGAATAAATCAAGCAAATAGTAATGTGGTTTCTCTTAATGGCACCCCACTCCAAGACGTGGAGTCGTACACCTATTTAGGCAGTAATGTAGATAAAGATGGAGGAACTGATAGAGATATTAAAATAAGAATACAAAAGGCAAGAGGGGCTTTCATAGCACTAGGGAATTTGTGGAGGTCAAAAGAAATTAAAAGAAATACTAAACTAAAAATTTTTAATTCTAATGTCAAATCAGTACTATTGTATGGGGCGGAAACATGGAGAACAAACAAGGCAATTACTAATAAATTACAGACATTCATTAACTGGTGCCTGTGCAGAATAGAGGGAATAAATTGGTATGATAGAATAACTAATGTAGAACTTTGGGAGAGAACTAAACAGGCTCCATTGGATCAGGAGGTGAGGAAAATATGCTGGCGTTGGATAGGGCACACACTGAGAAAACAGGAGAACAGCATAACTAGAATGTCTTTGCATTGGAACCCACAGGGATATAGGAATAAAGGAAGGCCAAAAAACACATGGAGAAGAGAGCTGGAGAATGAGGTTAGAAAGATTGGGAGGACATGGGGAGAGCTCCATGCAATTGCGAAGGATAGAACGACTTGGCGTGAGTTGGTTGAGGGCCTATGCTCCATTGGGGGATAGAAAGGCAGAGGAAGAAGTTCTCTTTTGTTTATGTAAGCATTGTTTAAACAATGTAAACATTCTTTTAAAAAAAAGCTGAACTGTAGTGTTTCATATAATTACATAATACATCAATAGTAATGAGTATCCTATTATGACAAATTATTTTTTCATGCCATTATTGAAGTACCCCATTGCTCCAGCAAGGACCTGCTCCCATAATTCATCTGGTACTCTCTCTGTATTGGAGGTATTTCCCTTCCCAGTGAAGCCAAAATTAAGAGGAAAAGCATCAGTCGCTTGCATCATGTGCCTGTGATCATAAATTATATGAGTATTTAAAGTGCACATTTGTGTTTATAAGACTGCACATATATGTAGGTGTGTGCATATACAGTGTGTCTGTGTAAGCAGTTCAACATTCTAATCATTTCCATATGTCACAGCTGATTACATTTATTTAGTGTAGTCAATAAAAAGTATAAATACAAATCTCTACATCTTAATCATTCTTTCTGATTATGTTCCCAAGATTGTAGGCTGCTTTTGTGTCCTTACCTTCAGGAAATCCACACTGCTTATTCTCAATTTCTGATTTCATTTTACAACCTATTTTTCCCATTACAATTGTTATTAAATATTTTAGTCACATAACTCATTTAAAATTGTTATTGTCACACTGTTTTACTTTAGTAAAGGATAAAAACAGTCTTCAATAGGTGCTATTTTTGTGGATATCATTCATGAATTTTGGTAATGCTTCAATACCAAATTCACAAACACTTTTTATTTCCTTGAGAAGTAAGTAAGTCAGTAAGTGTGTGTGGTGTGGTGTGTGATGCGGTGCAGTGCATGTGTGTATGTGTGTGTGCGTGTTAACGAGCCCGCACGCATTTGTCATTCCTCAACATAACAACCTATTTCGATTGCATTTAATTTGTACAGCAGTAGAGGATCTCTCACTCATTTTCTGTTTTGTCTCAAATGATGGCGACATCCTGCTTGGCATTTCTAGAAACCTTTTTTTAATTTAAGTTTCCTTCTTAGTTTGCCCACTAGTACATGGCCAGTTGTTTCTTCTGCTCCTGACTATTTTCACTGACAGTAAGCTGTGAGTAAACAGTCTGTGAATCTTTCAACAACAAAAGTTCTACAGGTTGAAGCATTTCTTTTTAACTACAAGAACACCAAAGAAATATAAATAGCCATACTTGATATGCTGCACTCCTGGTGTGCATGTTGTAGCATTGGTGCCTGTGGCAGGCCCAGTACCCCCTCCAATCAGTGTAGTTATTCCGGATGCTATTGCCTCCCGAGCCAGTTGAGGGCAAATGAAATGAACATGGGTGTCCATTGCACCTGCTGTCAAAATAAGACCTTCTCCAGCAACAGCTTCAGTGCATGCACCAACCAGCATATTCTGTGAAATATCAAAACAAACATGTTTACAATACTAGAAACACATAATCAGTCTTACACATGTTTCCTTCAGCATACCATCATACCTTTGATAATTTCTATAAAAATGCTTTTTTTGTAATATAGTTGTAGTTTATTTTATTGGTCACTTTATTATAAACATGATTACTTTATGTTCAGAAGATTATCTACATCAAACAGCCAGGTGTACTGACAAATACATGAACTAAAGTTAAGGTCATCAAAAGGTACAGACCTTAAATCAAGAAAGTGGAACAGATTTTGAATAAACTTTGAAGAAAAAAAAAGCAATGAAAATATTATGGATGCTCATCCATAAAAGATGAAAATATGGTGTGAGAGATCATTTGTTAAAATGTGTGTGGGGGTAGAACCACTAAGTCCCTAAAAAGCAAGCTGTACAAGGGGTGTTTTCTTCAAAGTTAGAGTGCATCTGTATGAGAGGCGAGAAACCATTAAATACCTGGCTTTTCAGGCTTATTGGGTAAATGGGACTATACCTATATTTTATAGAACAAACGCCTGTACTTCCCAAGTCTACATACAAATAAGCCAGACCTGTAAAACAGATGTGCATGCAAAATTCAAGTCCTGGAATAAGCCCAAAGTCCAGAAGGGGTGAATAACTAGAACACTCCACCTGGGTTTACAGCCAGGCAAGGTGAAAAAGAAAAAGAAGATTAGGAAAACTGACACACTTAGCTTCTGGAGATATGCCTTTTCAATCAATTTCAAACGCACCCTTCAAGTAATAATAAGTTTTTTAAACTGCCTTTAACTGCCTTTATTTCTAGAACAATGTAGGCAGAGTGGCCATTTTCAGCCTGAATAGTTATGGCCACAGAAACATGGTGCAGATCTGTTCTTCTCAACTTCAAATTTGTTTGTTGTCCTCTAAAGTCTCATTTCTGTTAGTGCTGCTACCTGGTCCTATATTATTAGTGGAACGATCCTAAACTTAATACAAACTCATTTTACTATAGGTAAGGCATTTAATTATATCATTACCAAAAGAAGCTATGTCAAAATGTCAACAAATAACAAACAGTATTAGATACTAATTACAAATGAAAATAAGAAATAAAGAAGAACCCACTTTTGATCAAGAAAGGGGTTTAGTGTCAAGGAGTGTTAATATATTTCTTACCAAAGATCTAGTAATAGAATGTGCAACATGAGCTGTTACTTTCCTTATGTAATTACATGTTTTAAAATGTTTTGCTAAAATAAGATGACAAAGAAAGGCTTCCGATTAGAAAGCAAAGTTTATGAGAGGTAACACATCTTTGCTTTACCTCTTGTACTCCACTCATGACATCAGGGTTACCAGCTTTTCCAATTCCCACAATTTTACCATTCTGCAAAATGATGAAAACAGTTCATTCAATATTCAAGAACACTATAATATATGAAATCACTGTAACATGTTTAACAGGTATGAATTAATCAGGAGTTCAAGATATTAAAAAACATAGTCATATCTTTTACTGTCTGAACTATATTCTGAAGGTATTACCTACTTTGATCCCAATATCAGCTTTAATTATTCCTGACACTGCATCCAAAATAAGAGCATTTGTAATGACTGTGTCCAAAGCAGTACCACTTGGCAGTCTGGAGGCTTGACCCATGCCATCTCTCAGAACCTGAAAAAATATCAACTGTTTTAAAGTTTAGCTCTCTAATCATAATCATATCTTAGGCTTTAGGGAGGAAGATGCTACTGGTCTACTGTTAGGTAAAATACTTAACTTGCACTGATAAAAGCTTAATGGGAGGACACAACAACAAAATCGTTTTTTTTTTTAAACAGTAGGGGAAAGCAGAGATAATGGGAATAAATAAATCAAAAATATGGTAATATGATTTCCATTGGTAAACCCTCACTTTATGTGGTGAAATCAAGTACATATTTATTTAGGTAGCTAACTAGACAAGCTAGGGGCACAGAAAAATATTAAAATAAAATACAAAAGCAAGTGGAACCTTTTAAGTAATAACAAATTCATAGAAGTCAACAGAAATTTTGCTTTGCTTCAAACTAATAATAGTTCTAACATTAAACCAGTAATTTGTATGTGTATGTGCGCGCAAGAGTATAGTGTGTGCATGCATGTATGTGTGTGCATGTGTTTGTTTTTGTTGTTGCCAAAAAAAAAAGGTACAGTGGAGCAGGCACCATCATATTACTAAAGGATTGAACTACATACCAAAGAGCTCTCATCAAACTTAAGAGATGAATAATATGCTATCACCGAAGCCACAAGAATCCTCGAGGATGAAGACACCAAAATATCCAATGATCTTGTGCGACTCCATGTCAGCTCTACAGGCCGCACAAATAGAATCACAACATAACGTGGAAAATGAGTTGAACCTTCTGCCTAACAAACTCTCAGAGACCAATAAAGTGGATTTTGGCCCATTGTGACATAGCAGGAAATGAGATGATAGATAAACTGGCCAATGACAGCAAAGAGTAAAAATAGATGGGTGCTTAATCGGATTCAGCCTCGTTAAAGTGGGCAATATTTTATTTATTCACACACACCCACTCACGCACGCACGCATGCACACACACACACACGCACTTAGGGTGGGAATGTTAATCCTGATCATTTTCAATTATCATGCTTGCAAATTGGTTTGTGACACACAATTTACTAGGATCTCACCTTCAGTGGATCCAATTGAATTCTTGTCTACACTGCAGACCAGTGTTACTAAAACTTTTCTTGGTCGCAGAGCCTATTTAAATTACAATTTTTCCACAGCGCCCTAACCTAAGTAAATGTATGACTATTCGTGTCTTGGTGAAATTAATTATGAAGCTTTACAATATTTCGCGGCACTCCTGTGATGGGGTTGCAGCTGCCCAGGCTCCGCGGCACACAGTTTGGGAATCACTGCTGTAGATGATTCTATGCAACCTTGAAATTAAGTAATGCTGAAGACCTATAATGTGTATAACCACTGACCAAACTGTTACCACCACGGCACTGACAATTTTCCAATAGTTGATGTCATACTTCTATCCACGAATCCTCAAGAGTCTGAAGAGCACACACCATTTATTAGTTAAGCCAGACAGACAGTGAGACTCCCAATAGGTGTGAACAGTTCAGGGCCCACAGGCTTGTAAACAAGTTCCATTTCCTACCAAGGTCACACCCAGGAAGCCCACCCTCAGTAATCAAAGGTGGAGAAGGAAAGTCCCACAACCTATGATGTCTGACAGGAAGTCTCAGGACGAACGAGATCATGGATAACTTTCCCCATCAAAGATAGACATGTCGGCCTGAATGGCATGGGCAGTTAGTAATAAAAATGGACATCAACGCATACTATGGTTAATGAGTATGCTTAGACACCCACACCATTATGGGGCTGCTCCTGTGGACCACTGCTAGATTAGAACAGTGCCAGATTTTGAGTCTTTAAGGGATTCACTCTATACCCCTGACAGTAGCTCTGCGCATCAGAGTACCAGGATTAATACCAACACCCTTAAATAAAATATAGACAATGCAGTGGAATGCAGGAGTCATGAGGAAAAGCCTGAAATGAAAAAAAAAGTATAAACAAAAGACTGGTGAAACGTCCAGGCTTGGCAGGGAGGGCCACTGAAAAGGCATCATCACAAGGAACAATTATATCGCAAGAATAGAAACCTCCAGAAGCACCAGTGACTCTGAACATCAGACAGGCAAACTACAAATGTTTCCAAAGCCGCTGTAAGTTTTCAACTACCACTGCCCAGCAATAAGAAATTGAAACTTGAGAATATCACAGTAGCTGACAAGAGCTTTTAGCTGACAAGAGCTTTCTAATTCTTGGTAACTTCAACAGCCACTCTACTAAATCTAATTATTGGTATCTTCAACAGCCACTCTACTAAATCGGGATGGGCTTCCATTTACACAAGAGGAGAGGAAGCAAAGAATAGATGGCAGAGAACCTGCTGATACTAACCAACAAACATGACTCTGAACCAACCTTCTACTCGAGACGATAGTTAACACAAATTAAACCAGACTTAGAAATCATCATCATCACATGCCTTGCCAACTGGCCTCTCCACATCTGCGATCTCCTGCAGCATGTATCAGTTTGTGTGCTGACACACTTCCATGCCATGCAACAAGACTGTCAATAATCTTCTTTCCTTGTCTTCCTCTATCCCTCCTTTCACAGATCTTTTCAGTGGTCACTAAAAGTTCCATTTTCACTCTTCTCATAACATGGCCGAAAAATGATGACTGTATCCTTCTGATGTCTGGGATAAGTTGTCTTTCAAAACCTCTTGGTTGCTATTTTTGGCTGTCCAATGTATTTTAAGCATTCTTTTGTAAAACCCCATCTCTAAGGCCCCAAGAAATTGTTTCGCCTGCCTATTGATTGTTCAGGACTCACAGCCATGTGTCAGAACTGGTAGTATGTGGTAGAGCTGTACTGAATATTTGCTTCGTATTCGCTTCGGGGCCAAATAGTGGACCTATTGACTATTCAGTATTCGGCCGAATAGTTGCGGTTGGGCCAAATACTAATAGTAGTTACCTTACACCCACTTTTGCATACATGGCCTTAATACTGACAACATGGAACGATTGGTTTTGTTGAAAGCTAATGCAGCTTTCATGCATTAATTAAGCTGTCAGTGACAATTTCCTGGTGTAGTTACTTGTTATAATACTTAGGATTCTTTCATTCCTAGTTATTAGTTACCACAGATTGAAGGATGCAAAACATAAAATGTTTTTAAATGTTTACTATTCTGTACGAATACTAACTAGACATAGAAAGAATATAAAGTCCGGTCACATCCCAATCCATAATATGAAAATCAAGCGAACGGAAACATATAAGTACTTGGGTTCCCCGTGTGGGTTCCGGGGCCCCATCGTGGGGAAAACAAGAATAGACCCTCTGCCTACCCAAAAGTATGTCGTAAGAGTCGATTAATTGGGGAGCTTCCTTTGAAGTCGGAGTGCATCTGCCTGAGAGGCAAGGAACCAACAGTCTGCATTCAAGTGAATCAGATCTGTAAAACTGATGCACACGCAACACTCAGGTTCTGAAGCAGGACTGCAGTTCAGAAGTGGACGAACAATCAGAACTTTCCACCAGAGTGTACAGCTGGTGAACGCAAAGAAGAAGAAGAAGTACTTGGGTGCAAACTTCAACTGCTCCAACATGCTGAGAGAAGAAATACAATCTAGAATACAATCTTGTAATAAAGCATACTATGCCCTTCAACATCTGCTAAAGTTAAAGTGTCTGTCTTGCAACACCAAGATCAAAATATATAAAACGTTCATAAGACCAATCGTTTTATATGTCTCTGAAACTTGAAGCAGAAATAAAAGAGATGAGGCCTTATTACAGGTTTTCGAAAAGTCTTACGACAAATCTGTGGACCCATCAAAGATGCTAACAGCGGAGAATGGAGAGTGAAAAGCATTAACATAACGCATTATCTGTTTGAATCACTATTGATCACTTGCATCATGAGAGCTAACAGACTAAAATGGTTGGGGCATAATGAAAGAATGTCAGATGACAGAGAAATAAAGCTGTATACACCTGAGAGAGAAATAGGTGTAGACAACGAGGCAGACAAAAAAGAAGTTGGAGAGATAATGTCCAGCCAGACCTGCAAACAACTGGTGTCACAAATTGTGAAGAGAAGGCCAGCCAGAGAGATGAATCGAGATGAGTGATATCTGCAGCAGTAAACCTCAAGGGCTCTGAATGCTAAAAAAGAAGATGACTATTATGTTCTACTTTATGTGAAGTAATGGTTCAGTGTACATTTGACATTATGGATGAGTTGTTTTTTTTAAAGATATATTTTAGACACTATACACTATTCATATTCGTATTCGGCCGAATAGTTGTTGGTCCCGTTATTCATATTTGGCCAAATAGTGAAAATCACTATTCGGTACAGCCCCAGTATGTAGCAAGCAAGAATTCTTTTTCTAACCTTCAATGATAGAGATATATTGCATAAGATGTTCTTCATTTTATAACATGCAGTTTTTCTCTGTCCTTTTCTGTTTCTTATCTCAGTAATGCATTCTCCATTTGATTTTATCCATGTGCCCAGATACTAAAATTTCTGTACTTGTAGACTTAGCCATAGTTTCAGAAAACATCCAATGATGTGGGAGGAGAAGTTATGAAACAGCTGAGTGAAAGTTGTCACCGACTCTTCATCATCATGATAGGAAAGATCAAGACACCAGAGAACAGGAAGAAGATAGTTAGCTGGAATTACTAGAAAGCAGACTGAAAATGAGGTTAAGGAAAACACCACAACAAATTCCTAGAAATATCATACTTAAGGTATTTAATTTGAAATTTTAAAAAATAACAACCATCTCTAAGAAGACAGAAAAACATTGTAAGATTCAGGTAATTGAGGGAAAATCTCAAACAGGTAAACTATTTAATATCCTGGAACAATCATGCTCACAGTTATGGAACTTGTCATGTAGAGTTTTAAAACAAGAACTGCCTATGCAAAAGTAGCCTTTACCTATGTTCACCAATAAAACAAAAACAACAAAAACACACAAGCGAGCTTCAGTGAGAAAAGAGCGTTCAAAGTTTTGTACAGCCAAGTAACATCATCAATCAGCAAGTTCTTTACAGTCACTCGCCTAAAAGTCTCTCCTTATTTTGCCCAGTGATTCCCAAACTGTGCGCCGCTACGCCCTGGGGAGCCGCGACCTCTTCTCAGGGGTGCCACAAAATCTTTGAAGATACACAAGTTTTTTTTTAAATCTTTTACATAGCAATAGCGATACTTTTACTGAGGTTAGGGCGCCATGGAAACATTGTAATTGAAAAAAGGCGCAGTGACTAAGACAAGTTTGGGAAACACTGTTCTAGCCAGTTCTCCAGCACATATAGGCTATAATAGCCAATGCTTCTTCAACGCACCTTCACTGAAGTCAGCCTCTGCCAGAAGCCCCAGTAGTTAAAATCCTTGTCATAACAAAGATTTTTTTTTTAAATTGAACTGGTGAATCCAAACTTAAAAACTATCTTATTAAATGACACATTTTGTAACACAAAAATGTATAATGACCATATTATTTTACTCAAGCATTTTTGTAGTATAGTTCACACATAATTGACAAACGATTTAAATGTATTTGATATACATACCTTTCCACCACCAAATTTGCACTCTTCTCCATAGAGTGTGAAATCTTTTTCTACTTCAATGATCAAGCTTGTATCACCCAGTCTTAACTAAAACAATAACAGACATTTCAATGTTATCTCAAGACGGAAGGTCAACACAGGAAATCATGTTTATGTACAAAATTGATTGGGGAAAAACATTTCAACATAATGATTACCGTAATTTAAAGAAAAATACTTCATAAATTGTATTTGTAAATTTTAATATCTTCTAACTCTACCAGACAGATGTCCCGCTATTACAGGAATTTCATTATCTGCCGCTAAACCGGTGTCCCTCAATGTCGGTACTTTGCGTACTGTTAAAACAATGCGCCACAAATTAAAAATAAGCAACCAGTCGTGATCGCTGCCCACGGGTATCTGGATTTTCTTTGTGTGAAAAAAAAAATCTGAAAATTCACAATAAAACGAGCGGCTGATGAACCAGGCACTTCAACAGAAAAGTGAAGTAGGTTTAGGCTTTTCACAGTCCAACAGGTGATCGAAACTTTGGTTGATTTTGACTCTGAGGAGTCAGAATTTCATGAAGAATATGTTCCTAGTTGAAGTGACACAGTCGGTGTGAGCTCGAGTGATGAGGAGAATCTTGAATATAGATTTGAAACTAGATCAATAGTAAGAGAAGGGGGCGTGTCCCTCAAACAGCAACATCTGGTGCTTACTTTGGGAAACAAGGCCAATCTTTCTGGGTGGAATTGCACACCAAGGTGGAATATTGGCACTAGATGAAAGGTAAACCTATTTTCTACAATGTCTCCAAGTTTCAACTTATTCTAACCACTTGTTTGCATGTAACTAACATTTGTGTACATCATGTCGGTTTTTTGTGTTGATGCCCAGGAGCGCAGGTATAGGAGGCAGTTAGGTTCAGGGCCTCAGGTCTGGTAGGGTTAATGTCATGGTCACATAAGAGAATGCCACATACAGTGTGGTCCAAGATCACAAACAGATAAAGAATGGGGATAGAGGGAGAGACTGGGTGAACTGGTGCAAAAGAATGCTATCTAATAATATATTTGTTTCATATAAAGAGTATAAAGGGCTGTTTATTGCAAAAAACATGTTTTTTTTTTCTCATTTCTGATAACACTGATGATTCTAACATTTTCAATTGAAACTGATCCTATTTCACACACTGCTTCTATTTTTCATATAAAATATGTGTAGTTGTTTTGTTTTTGATTTGCTTAGTATATAATTTTTGTGTGTGTAGGGGTCAATCTAGAAATTAAAATATCAAATCAAATTTTTCACAAACACTCTGATGAAAAAAGGTGCATAACTGTACATGTTAATCCATCTTAATATTTATAGACGTGTGTGTGTTTATTCACATATCACATAAAAGGGGGTGTAGTAGAATGGTATGTTGGAATATGTGTGTGCGGGGAGAACTAACCTTGTCTCCAACAGTTGGTCCATATGTATGTGCATACAAATGCCTCGTAATCTTTATAGGTGGGCCTGCTAAAATCACATTCTGTATAAACAAAATTTAAAAAACACACATGTACATATATTTAAAAAAATACTGTACATTCCTTCTGTCTCCCTATGTCTTTGATTTCTATATATTTATTATGAATTGATTGTAGTTTGTCCCCGTCCAAATGTAGGATGCAGGTTTTTTTTTAAAGCCCCACCCTGACAGTTGTCAGGGACTCCAAATATAACCTACGGGTTGAAAGGCATTTCTGGGACTTGCCCCGGAGTGATTAACATCCAAATAGAGGCACACTATGTCACCGGCTGTTTATCGCTCATTGTGCGGTCCTGATTGGGGCTGAAAATCAGTCAATCACTGATGAATAGCTGGATGCCAGAAGAAGACTGACTTTGCTGTCAGTTGTTTTGTTTATTGTGTGTCTGTCAAATAGAAATGTCTGTTCCACACAGCAGACTCACTGACAACTTTACCTTTACCTCATATGCTCGGAGACGTGCTTGCCAAGCGGGTCGGGTGGCTATTACTCCTTTCCCTGGGTAGATGGAACCCGTTAGCTTTGAACAGCAGTCCATCTAGGAGACTGCAAACTCTGAATATAAACCCCCAAGTTCAATGTGGGCCAAAGTGTTGAGGAACTGGATGGCCACCGGTGGCTGGTCGTGATTGTTGGATGTCTGGCGGGCTTGCGGGGCGGCATCAGGCGTATTGGACTCCTATGGGACATCCACTGCCCCTTCCCTAGCAGGAAGGCAATACTAGTGTGGACCAGTCATTTCCTGCAGAACTCTATTTTTTCGCATAGGATTTAAAAAATATACAAAGGAATCGTCGCCGGAGTTACGGTGCACATGCTCTGCGCTTGACAAATTTTTCAGCAGTTCGTGAAAAGAGAGTAAGGAGAAGACGACGAGGGAATGGGGAGACAAGAAGGCATAGAAGGAGTAGGAGAACAAGACGAAAAGCGGAGAGATTGAGCTTTAATCATGTAAGAGTAGGATACTGGAACTGTTGGACTGCTGGCAGAGAGGTCCCGTACTGGAGAGGCTTATTTTTGATTTTGATGTCATCATGCTCCAGGAGCTAAATACATACAGATATCATTGTCCTGGGTACGTCAGTTATATAAACGCTGTTAGACAGGATCGACATGGACAAGGTCTGGTGGTGAAGGAGGGAGTGAAGCATGTGGTGCTTGACTTGAGCCAGTGGAACCACAGTGGAAGAGAGGTTCAAGAGATACAGGTGGAGATTAGTGGCTCAAGTTGGAACCTCATAAATATATATGCCACGGTAGACTGTTTTGTCAGAAGTGAACAATGGGGCTGGCTCAAGGAATTGGAGGAGTTACCAGGTAATAGGTTACTCATATGTGGGGATTTCAACACGAAAAACAGAGAATGGGACAGCGGTGGAGAAAACTGACAGGGAATTGCTCTTGCAGAGGCCATGGTTGACTCCGTTATGGTCTGCATCAATGATGGGAGGCCGATCAGAATGGCAATGAGCTCTGGAGATGCAGACACAGCCATTGACTTGACATTTGTCTCTCAGTCGTCGGTTCTACATGTTAAATGGACTGTCCTGACTGACCATGGGTGTGATCACCTACCATGTTCAGTCTTGATTTCTAAACCCAGTAAGGTTAAGGTTGGGAGAGCACGCAAGACCTTCCGGTATAAGTGGACCAACAACCTACTTGGACGCCTCAGACAGGGAGCATGCAACAGAACTGCCAGAACTAATTTTCTACAGCCCCCATGGTGGACTCCAGAAGTAGAACAGGCATGGAAGGCAAAAAGAGCCACAGTGAAATAGCTAAAGGAAGTACGACAGACAGCCTCAAGCTCACGATAGGAAGTAGAGATGGCGGAGAATGTGAAAAAAGATAAGGTGGAAGTTTTCAAGCGCTGTGCTGCAGAGGCCAAAAGAGCAAAGGTGAAGGTTTTCAAGCGCTGTGCTGCAGAGGCCAAAAGAGCAAAGTGGGAATTTTTTGTGAATGATATGGGAGGTGATAAAACGGGGGAAATTCTGGAAACTGCAAAGGCAGATGCAAAGAAAAGATCGGCCTATGACAGTCGGAACAATTTGTAGAGACAATGGTGTGGGTGTGACAACAGACAAGGAGAAAGGGGAGGCTTTTCTCCATAGGTTTATAGCTCAGACAGATCATAATGATGCAGTTAGAAAGGAGTTAGCTGGCACCTTGAAGAATATGCATTATGAAGACATAATACATGTGGAAAATATCAAACAAATTTTGAAACAAGCAAAAGACACTGCACCAGAGCCTGATGGAGTCAGGAATGGTCACATGAAGGCTTTGAGCGATGTAGACCCGGCAGAGTATTAAGACAGCATCAGTACCGCAGGACTGGGTGCACAGCTATCTAATCCCACTACCAAAACCTTTTAAAGATCATTCTATGCTTAGTGGGTTTAGAATCATCACCTTACAAAACACATTTGGGAAGGTCTTGGAGAAGAAAGTTGCTGTAAAGCTACAAGAATTTTTGGAAAGGTGGAAGCTTCTCCCAAGAGGTCTGGGAAGCTACAGGCCAGGAAAGGACACATGGGCAAATGCAGCCACTTTTGCTTTTTATTTATATGAAGGGTTCCAGAACAGACAGGAAACTATGGCGGTAGGACTGGATCTCGAGGATGCTTATAACAGAGTGAAATACGACATCTTAATGACTGCACTGAAGGAGAAGAAAGTCAGTCCATGGCTGGTGAATTGGGTTGCAGCTGTACTGTATTCACGTCGAGCTGCTCTCCGACTGGGCTCATGGACCTCAGAACCATGCAGTTTAGTCCCAGGACTGCCACGGGGATCCGCCATTCTGCCTGTGCTCTTTAACGTGTATACGAGCAAGACTGCAAGCCTACAAGCACCAGGAGTTCAAAGGATACTGACTTTTGCGGATGATATACTTGCATATAGGCAGGTGGAAGAGAGGGAACAAACAGCCTAGGAGCTTCAAGCGACAGTAGACAAAGTGACTAGGTGTACAGCAATGAGGGCTGTTGTCCACCCGGAAAAGGCGTCTGTTTTGTGGTGTTCTCTGGACAACAGAATAAAGTTATTTGTACCAAGTGTCACGATAGATGGTAGAAACATCAACAGAGAAAGCAAACAGAAGTATCTAGGAATTACATTTGACAGGAGCCTGTCCTCTAAGGACCATGTGGAGAGAGCTGTGACGAGATGCCAAAAAGGACTTAGTGCACTTAGGACTATGGCTGCAAATGACATAGAGCAGAGAATGCTTTTCACGCTATATCAGCACCTGATCCTGACAGTGGTTGATTATGGCCTGGAAATGCTTACCATCTCAAAGAGCCAGACGGACAAACTAGAGCGCATACAGAATGGGGCTATGCGGGTCATTCTGGGTTGCACCAGAGACAGCCCAGTGGTGTATATGCGATGCATCATTGGTTTGAAGATGGTTGCAGGTAGGCACAAGGTGCTGCAGGTGAAGTCATATCTTAGGGTAGCTGCAGACACAGACCACCCTTTGCATAAAGCTCTGGGTGCAGTTAAGGGTCAGCGGCTGAGAAGAGCGAGGTCATGGATGGCTTAGGCAGAAGACACAATCAGACAGGTTTGCATCCTTGAGAACATTAGGCGAGGAAAGGAGTGGGTCAAAGTGCCACCTGAACAGTCAGACTTGTGTAGAGTCATAATCACGCTGAGCCGGGAATGCAGAGACTGGCCAGCAGGTGCCACGGAGGTGGAAATTCTGCAATTAATTCAAGATAATGCTCGCTCAGAGGATTTGATCATTTACACAGAAGGTTCAGTGTTAAGAGGCAAAAGAAATGCTTGGGGCTTCTTAGCAAAAGTTAATGGTCGACGTCTGATGCAGGAGAGCCTAGAGTATGATATCACAATATCCAGCTTAAGAATGGAGGTGGAGGCGGTCACTGCAGCTTTCTGCTGGCTAGAGAACACGACACACACACACATACACAGCGTGATTGTAACTGACTCAGAAAGCAGAACAGGTATGCTTTGTGCAGAGTGGCATGCTTCGCTGCGGAGGACAAAGGTGAGGAGTATTGTCTGGATTTTTTTTCTCTGGGAACGCCGGTGTGTTGGGAAATGAACAGGTGGACAGACTGGCTGGCTCTGCACAACTTGGTGGAATACTGATACATGATAAGGCAGATGTGGTTAGTGCCTTGTGGGAGAGCGTGTACAGCAGTTAGGAGGAGCAGATGGATCACCACAGTCTGGTGAGATTGATGCAGGGGGGGGGGGGGGGGGGGGGGGGGGGGGGGGCAGGGGGGGGGGGGGGGGGGGGGAGTGACGAGAGGGTCTGGCAGATGCTCAAGGCTCAGAGGAAAGGCAAGACAGACGCTTAATCAGAATGCTACTGGCACCATTAGTACAGAACTCTTCGCTGGCTGCTGAAGATGGGGATGGAGCACTTATGGGAATGCCCCAAGTGCTGTGATGTCAGTTCTTGAATCAAATCAAATCAATGAGTTTCCTTCTGAAGCAGCTATCAAATTATTTTACATATATTTTGTCATTCTTTGTGTTGTTCATGTTTCTGATTCATAAAGCAGGGTACACTTGGTTGCCTGGTATGCTTTGATGTTGCGGAGTATCAAGATATCAGCGACTCCTTCAGTCCATCTTCTTCTTGTTCGTCCATCTTTTTCTTGGTCGTCCCTTTCCTCCTGGTGTTTTCACTTTCATGATGTACGTCTCGCTGCTTGAAAAGTTACAGCGCACAATGTATAAGACTTCTATGAGGCTACAGTTCTTTTTTCACCAAGATTCTTTCACCAAGAAAATAGTGCTAAAGGCATGCATGTTCTGTTTACACTTTACATTATTATATGCTGCCCAGTCCTGGAAATGGGCAAGCAGCTGGAAGAAATATTGGTGCGCGGACATACAGATATTCAGAATGACTGGGGCAAAATGTAGGTTTCACAAAACATAAAAAAGTTTTTTTTTAAAGAGTAGGAATGACGAGGAAATTAGGAACTGAAACCGAGTAGAAGCAATGTAGAGCAAATTAAATATTGTGACTGGGATAAGAAAAAGAGATAACACTCTGCTAAACAACATATTAAAGGGAAACAGAAGGGGAAAATATGAAAGCCACAGCTTAGGTGAAAATATTAAAAGATGGACTGGAAAAAAAAAGGATGTTAAAAGAGCTATCAAGCCAAGAGAAATAAAATACTTAAGTACCATTACATCTAAGCTTGAATATGATAGTGGCAACTGATTGGGCTCATACTTATCTCATTTTGAATAATTTCTCTATGTTTCTAATTCTGTACTTCATGATCTTTTATGAAACAGTTTTCAGATTACCTGTTCCTTATGTCCAAAGTCAAGGTCGTTGACTTTCTTCATCATGTCAGTGAGACCATTGCTGCTGTTAACTGGTCCATCACAGAGGTTGTTACCTCCTCGAATGATTCTGTAATGAAAGTCTAAGATAGTTATCTATGTACACACAAGAAAAATGTTGTCTGTAATTACCTTTCATCTCATTATCATCATAATGTCACACAGGCTCAGTCTATTCCTCCATTCCATTCTACTCTGTGCAATCGCTTTGATATCCTGGACAGAATGCAATCTAAATGCCTTTGGTTTCTCTCGTCCATGTTCATTCAGGGGTGGGGGTGCCCATGTTGTGACCACTAGAAAGAGAGACAGAGGAATACAGCGTGAGAAGATTCTTGACAGTCTTCTGTCATGGTGTAGAGGGGTGTCAATACACGAACTGATACACCGAGTTGCAGATCGCAGATTGTAGAGAGGCATGATTGCCCTTGCCAGTCGGCAAGGTACTTGATGATGATGAAACAAAGAAGATAACAATCAAAATGTTACCTTCTTCCTCCAATGTCTACCAAGTTGACAGTTTTCATAGCTCCTGGCTCAAAACGCACTGCTGTTCCTGAAGGAATGTTCTGTAGAGGTAATTGCAAGTGCCTGGTAATAAATACTCTGCACAATTACAATAGATTGTAAAGTTATATAAGGTGATTCCTTTAATTGAAAATAATGCATTTTATTTAAAATAGTGTTGCAAGTTATGTATGTGGAAAGTATTTTGGCCATATTATTAGAAAAGTAGAAAAAATAATTTCAGAATAATGGCACATCTACGAAAGTATATGGCGTCTGTGATAGTAATAAGAGAATGCGTGACATAGAGTGAGTCAGGTAGGTTGGGAGAACAGGAGAGGGTAGCTGAAAAGTTGACAGAGGGGCCAAAATTGGTCAGCAATGAGAATTTATAGAGAACAGTGAAAGTAAACATTTGTAAAGAAACAGGATCCCCAAAAATGCTTGGTATGTACCTCATTGTGACAATATGTGAGTACCGACGAGGAAAAACATTTCTATGTAATGATACCAGTTGTTTGGTCCGGCTAGGATGGCAAAACATGGTGATGTTTATTTTTCAGCCAGCATTTAACCGGAGTCAGTTTTGGACTCCCTAGAGTGGAAGTTGTGTTAAACTAGTCTGAATGCAATAGTCTAGTTCAAGTGTGACCTTTCAGCAAGTTTGAAAACACTGTGACTGGTCTAGCAAACCAACAGTGACTTACAAAATATTAGGTGATAACACGAACCGACTAGAATGATAGGGACAGAACGTATGAATATCAAGAAAATTTGCAGTACTAGTATAAGCAGAATTAAGAATAAAGTAGAAGCCATCATAGAAGAAATGAGAGAACGCAAAATAGTAATATTAGGACTAACATACACAAGAACTAAAGGAAACAGTTGTAAGAAAGTGCATCTAGACTTTTGTACGCCTGTTTAGGAGCAGAAGTTAACAAAAGGGCAAATCATGGGGTTGGATTCATACAAGACCCTATGTTAGCTAAGAGAATCACAAACACCGAATACATCTCAGAAAGAATCATAACAATTACGACTAACAACAATGGTGTATATACATATGTTCAAATATATGCACCGTGTAACACAACTAAAAATGATGAAGAAAGCTAAGAAATGTTTGGCATACTAAATGACAGTATAAACAAGAACAAGAAAGAAGAAAGTATCACCATCATGGGTGATTTTCATGCAAGAATAGGACATTGAAAGGGAGCAGAAAAACACACTGGAAAATTTGGAGATAACAACAGTCAGAACAAAATGGGTGCGGACTCCTTGAGCTATGCTATCAGCAGGATTTTTTGATAACACTTGTTTTCAACACTGGAAGTCTCACATACATCTTCTGTTGTCAATATCTGCTTATGCCTCTAGGCATCGCAGTTTATCAGACATGGTATAACAAGAATGATCTGAACATGTAAAAGTCAAATAGACTATACTAGACAAGGGAAACATGAAAAGAAGGTTAACAGGCACAAAAACAGTCCCAAACCTATGTACAGACACTGACCACAAAGTAATCATGATGACCATGAGGATGAACAGTGGAAGGAATGCTAGGGGACTACATTCAACCAAAAAAAAGAAACATACAAAATTAATAACTTAAAGAATGCTAACACAAAAGAATCAAAACTTCAAAACATTACTAAAAAGTATATCAGATTAAATAAAGAAACCGAATCAATAGAGAAGGAATGGAAAATGATTAATTAAAAGCTCAGTTTTAGAAGCAACAAGAGGAATATGTGAAATGGTAATATAGAGAAGCACAAGACCATTAATAACACCCTGGTGGAACATGGAGGCAAAAATAGCAGTGAAGGAGAAGATATGTAGATACCAAGTGTGGGTGGAAATTAAAAATCAAGATGATCTTGAATAATACAGAGCGGCAAAAACGATAGCCAGAGATATTGTCAGAAACACCAAAGAAACATCATGGCAGAAATACAGCAAAATGTTGAACGCACACCAAAAATGTGCTACAAAAAACTTGTATAAGCGAATTAAAGTTATGAGAGGCAGAAATATGACCCAACAGAAATTGTAACTGACAAAAGGGGAGTCCCCTTAAATAAACCACAAAAGTTCCTAGAGAGATCAAATTTCAACAATCTACTCAACTTACAATCAGAGGAACCATCCACAAAACAAGAAAACAACAGCTACATAAACAAAAATTAAGAACCGAGCCTAACACTCATAGAAAACAGAAAAGCTGTAAAACGGGCACCTTCTAAAAAATCATCAGGCCCTAACTACATACCTGCTGAACTACTCAAAGCAACAAAAGAGGTAGGCATAAAATGGATGCACAGAGTATTCAACCTAGTCTGGACAACATGAGAAACACCAGAGGACTAGAGAAACGCAATAATACGTCTGGAAGAAGAAAGGCAGCAAGAGAGAATGTCAGAAGTATAGAGGAGTTTCATTATTGAGCCACACCAGAAAATATTTTGTAAGATCCTTGAAAAAAGGCTACTCCCTATCATTGAACCACAGCTTAGTGAAGGACAAATGGGAATTCAGAAGAACAGAAGTTGTACTGATGTAATATTTGCACTTAGATAATTAGTTGAAAGGACAGTAGAATTTGATAAAGAATTACATGTCACATTCATAGACCAAGAGAAAGCTTTCGATCGAGTTAACATGAATAAGTTATGGAAGGTACTACAGGATTACAGAGTAAACAAACACTTTATTAAATTGTGCAAGAGTTTATATGTGAACAGTCAATGCGCAGTTAGAAGACATACAGGAATGTCAGAAAGGTTCTTTATTAAATCTGGCGTGAGACAGGGGAGCATTCTATCACCACTTCCACTCATTATATCTTCTTTTGTCAAAATTTGCTTGTGCCGCTAGGCGTCGCAGTCTATCAGATGATCGGCAACCGAGCCAGGGCGCGCTCAGTCGCTTCATATGCCGTGATGTTATGAAGTCTTAAGTTGTCCGTGACTCCTTCAATCCATCTTCTTCTTGGTCTTACCCAGCCTCTTGGTGTTTCGATTTTCATGTTGTATGCTCTTGATGCTGGCATCGTTGGTTCCATTCTCATTAGGTGACCAAACCATTTCATTCTTTGCTTCTCAATAAATTTAACGATGGGTATGGTTCCAATAGTTCTTGTAATCACATCGTTTCTCACTCGATCTCTTCTGGTTTTATTCGCAGCCATTCTCAAACATCTAATTTCACAGGTGGTTAGTCTTCTCTCGTGTTCTTTTGTTAATGTCCGTCTGACATTGATAACCTAATGTCGGTATAAAGATTGTATTTATAATTTGTCTTTTTATCTCAGCTGGGACAGCAGGGTGTTTTAAAATTGGGGCAAGCTGGTATGCGACATTGTTGGCTTGTTGGATTCTTGCTTCGATCTCTCTGTCTATTTTACCATTGAATGTAAAGATACTTCCCAAGTATTTAAATTCTTGCACTTGTTTTAGGCTGTGATCTAGAATCTTTATGTCGATGGTCTGTTGCTCTCTACTTATGCTCATGACTTCTGTCTTTTCAGTATTGATCTTCATATGATGCTTGAGGCAACTGTCGTGTAGACTCATTATATACATCGACCAAATTTGCAAATCAGCTAACACAAGTGAAGAGGATAACATCGGAGTATTACTAAATGAACTGCTTTTTGCTGATGACCAGACAATCAAGGAAAGATCAACTCTGGAACTATGATATCAAAAGTCAGCACAGAACCAATTTTGAACTTGATAGGTTGACAACAATTCAAACGGTTTGGTCATGTTACACGACTGGTACAGACAGGGCACCATAGAGTGCGATGTTATACTGATACAGTAGTAACAGATCCAGAGGTCCACAATGCAGAAGATGGACGGCATAAATATCAGAGACACTGACAAGTACTTTATACAAAGTGAAGAGAAGGGCCTGTTCCAGAGATCTCTTCCTGACCTGACACTGTAAGACATTCCAGGAGGAGAGAGAACAAGAACAAGATGTCTTATGAGATTTATTAAAGACAAACTTAATTCAACCTCAATCAATGTATTACCAGACTACTACTTTATAGCTGTACTGGCCAACTATCTCCTGCTCACAACGGATCATATCAACAAGAATTTGCTGCATTTAGTGTAGGCCGATTGGGTTAAACATTTCTAGATTTTATGATTAACACTTTGTTTAACTGCCAGAAAGAATTTACACTGTAAGACTGAGTCTATAATAATTACCTATGAATGTGAACTTCGACCAATAACAGGACATTATTCCTCTAGGTTTAATTTAGATTTCTGCAAATTATATGCCTCTACTGATCTTCAGTTTTAATGATAGGAACAATAGTCTAGTGGTAGCTAATCAACCCCCCCCCCCCACCCACCACCACCACCCATAATTTGTTGTACACAATAAACATTAATTACCTCATAATTGATTACCGAAAGCTGCCACGGTGTAGCAGCTAGACACTTGCTTGCAGATGCAAAGGTCATGGATTCAGGTCCTGACAAAGCCTGACTTTTTTTTTTCTTAAAAAAATGACCTTGGCTCCTAGGTCAACCCAGCCTCAAATGGGTACCAGGTAAAAGTCCTGGGAAGTAAAGGCAGCCGATGTGATGTTGACCACATTACCCAATGTGTGCTGATTAATCTACAAAATACAGATCTAGCCCTATGGGCCCAATACGCCTAAAGGTGTGGAAAAAAGGTCCTTTATTAAATTAATTACTAATAATAGATTAGAAAACCTAACTACATGAGACAGACATTTTTAAAAAAAAACATTATCAATAAACTGGCAACAGGAAATAAAACTATTAGAAAAACAATGGTATCTTTTAACAGGAAAATATTATTTATCAATCAAAATATTTTATATAAACACACACACACACAAAATCTAAATATAAAATAATGCAACACAAATTTTGAGACTCAGACAAGTCAAATCTGCCATTTGTAAACTGAGTCTAGGGAGTTCCCGAGATAATACAGTCCTATGTGGCAACAATGGACAAACAACAACAGTATTAATGAAATTACCAATTATATTTTATATTTTGAATGTAAATCACACAATCATATAATTCAATATTTTATTGGAGGATCTTAGCAGATGATCCATCTGCTGATACCATTCATATAACTTTACTCTAATACACTTCATTTAGTATGTTCATTGACAAGAATTTCAAATCACAATAGTCATTGGTTAGAATCCATATCTATGGAGGATTTAAAAATTGACCTTGGCTCCAAGGTGAATCTTATCTAAAATGAGAGTACCAGGAAATATTCCAGGAAATAAACACTGCCAGCATGATACTGACCACATCATCCTGTTCTGTTCAAACAACGGATCAACATCATGGCACAAGAGTGGTAACCCATAAGTGCTCTAACTCAAGCCTGAGTCCAAAGAATCAGTGCACGAACTCTATAGCATCATCATCATCATCATCATCATCATCATCATAAACCACTTGTGCCATTAAGCGTCGTGGGGTGGAATAATTTGCGATCCAGTGCACATTGGCTGCCACTGGCTATTGTCATGTCGTGAAGGCGTAGAGTGTCTTTAATCTTGTCAATCCATGTTTTCCGCGGCTGTCCTCTTGCTCTTGTAGCTGATCTTCTGAGATGTAGTGCTTGTGATGGTATTTGATCTTGCTGCATTCTAACGAGATGGCCAAACCACTTGATCTGCTGTTTCTCGATGAATCTAGTACAAGGTGTCGTTCCCACAATTTGCCTGATAGTTTCATTATTCACTCGATCTCGTATGGTTAGGTTGGCTGATTTTCTCAGGCACCTCATCTATAGCACCGGGGAGAATACTGAAATACTTTACATCATCCATCTAGTGTTGATCAATCTAGAAATAGATGACACAAACACCATATTGCCAATACGCATCCATCTAGTGTTGATCAGTCTATAAATAGATGACACAAACACCATATTGCTAATACGCATCCATCTAGTGTTGATCAGTCTAGAAACAGATGACACTCCTGTTTCTTTCTTTCGATGAGAGAAATACTCAACTGTTTTCACTTTATATACAAAACATGAAATATTTTTTACATGGTGCAAGATGAAGGCACCGCTATATGTGGGTACAGACAAATTAATGGAAGCAGCTTGCTTGAGAGTAATGTGAAAAGGCAGGCAAGAGAATATTAAGGTAGTGATGGCACTTGATGATGATAATCAATGCCTTTAATCATGGTTACTAATAACATAATGTCTGCTGTATGCGCATACTACAGCATTTACACATATAATTGACAATGGGGATATCATACATAAACAGTGGCATTTGCTCTGGCTCTTCAAATTTAGTATATGGACTATGCACTTAAATAAATATTGTCAATGTTATGAGAAGAAAGGGTCTGGAGAACACTGACCACAGAGAAAAGATTGAAATTCTTAGAGACTGAGGTGATTAAAAGAGAAAAACATTTGAAGAACACAGAGAATATAAGGAATGAGGTCATAAACTCCACCTGGTAGGACACCTGTTCAAGAAAAATCAATTTAGCGAGTGTTAAAGTCAAATGTGAACTCTAGTTGCTATGGATTTCTAGCACACAGCTGATGGTAGTATTATATATGTCCCGTGTTAGACTTCAATCCACAGCAATAAACTGTCATACGAGTATGGCACTAGGGTTGACCCACTCTCATAAAAATGATACAGGGTAATTTTCAGAATATAATGGAAAATGCCTGGGAAGAAACCTAATGAGGAAGAGAACTGGTCAATCCACTTCCTAATGTTCTGATTTAAAATATCTAAAGGTCTAGCTTGTTTCAAGTATCTATAATTGAACTGTTTTATTATCTCTAAATGGACAAAGCATTACTCTTATCTGTTTAAAACAGAAGTCATACCAGTCGTCTTCCATAAGCTGCAGCTCTGTCAAACACCAGATACTTGTTTGTTTCTACAAAGTGGTAGTGGCTTCCAATCTGAGGGGGAAAAGAAGCACTTTTTTCTGTGACAAGGCAACAAAAGAAAACACAGAAAACTGCCAAAAATTGAAGAAAATAACTAAAACATGATATTACTACAATCATGTAAGTTACACACAAACAAAAAATATCAAATACTATTAATGAAATTCTTCTTCTTAGCTTTGACTAATTGTAATTTCTGGTGGAAAATTCTGGTTGTTTGTCAACTTCTTGACTTTACTCATGTTCCAGAATTTGAGTTTTGTATGCAGATCCATTTCACAGACTGTTAGTTCATCATCTCTGAGGCAAATGCCCTCCAACTCTGAATCAAACACCCCTAAGTAGTAGACTTATAATACAACATGCTTGTTTGTGGGGTCAGTGGGTCTACCCCGCCTCCTCCCCCAACCCCTTTTTTTCAGAAAAGATAAAATAAAAGCAAGGTGGTCACTAAGTCTCTATTGCAAACAGTAATATTCAAAAGTGTGCTATATAAAATGTGTCCTTAACTGAATCTGTAACACTCCTATTTTTGCCTCAGGGAAGAACCTAACAACAATAGCTGACTTCACTGACAGATTTATTCAGCTCTGTCTGTCACTTTCAAGTGCCTGCAGACTGACATCGCACCACTTAGAAATACAACCTGCTGACAGTAGCTTGTTGAGTCATTTTTTATTTCTGCAGCAATGCTTGGGTCTTCAATTCAGTAGAACAATGTAGGCAGAATGTTACACTATTTAAAGTAATGTTGTGTTTTTTACATCCGGGTATACTACATACATTTCTGAACTTCAATTTTTTAAAGTAAAACCAGTGTTACATATCTGGATTCATGCTTCTCTGGTAAGATGTGTTTTAATAAATTTGCATGTGTGAGGGTCAATTTTTTTCACTGTTGGTAAATTCTCTTATTTTTTTTTGAAAATGAGGACAACTACTAAACATAAATTATGTGCGAGAATCTTGATGGATGGAATCAATAACTAATAAAATTCAGTCTTGTTTTTGATCTGGTGACAGCCCAGTCTTGTGGCAGGTGGAATTCCTGAGCTGAGAGTATGATCCTGAGATTGAGTGAATGTAATCAAGCAGTCGGCCTGTTTCACTAGAAAACCATGTTATTGTACCATATATGTGGCACCCATCTCTTATCTTGATCTATTTAGCTAAAACAAATACAATTTGTATGCTTTTTCAATCACTTTAGTTACATTTCATTTTCTTGATAGAAATCTCATCTCACAACACATATAACATATTATTAGTGATATTCACACATGTTCTAGTTATTTCTAATTACGATACTTTTGATAAGGATAAATATACTAAATAATGGCAACATTTTTGTCAGAGATACTCATTGTATTTACACACAAAGATATTGTAGTAATAGGTAGGACTCCATCATGAACTTCTAGCTACATTTGTACTGGTCATTAGAAAACTGATGTCATTGCTGACTGCAGCTATGTCATGGTGATAAACTGCCTGTCATTAAATAAACTAGTAGCACATATCTTGAAAACTAGAGTCAATCAACATTTTTTTATGTCATTTTTATTTTCAGTACACCAAAATTAGTTAGTATCAGCTATTTTCAATACTGGTACATTTTTGTTGTTGACTAGTGTAACTTCACACCCTGCCAGTGAATATTAGACATTTAAAAAATGATTCCAATGAATGTAACATTCCCATCAATCCAGTCAGACCAAGAGATATTCATCAACATGTAATGTTTTTTAGAAGTAATACAAACAGCCTGGGCAGCAGTCGGAATCAAAGAATTAGCAGTGTCCCTATGAGGCTAGCAGGTATAGAGAGTGGTGTTTATATGCCCCATAAAAAAAAATTAAAAAACAGCATGGCTGCCAACTATAGACCAATAAACTAAATAGTTTTGTATGTAATAAAGTAAAAACAATTTTTACCAGAGGACTGTTTATTTAGAATCAAAGAAATGCTGCTACCAAGATAGGAAGGATTTAGAGAGAGAGAGAGAAGGATTCACAATATAGTATTATTGTATAAATGATGCAGATGACTGAAGATGACTTTCCTTCTGGAAATTTGGTGGGCTGTGCTTTTTACATCTGTAAGCAGTTTTTCTAATGTACAGGTAAGTAAAATCCAAACTATTCTTGGTATTGTATTCTTTGCTACACTGAACATTACTACACAGAAGATAACACTGCTGATGTCTTTCTCATGGATTATAATGCTTTTGCATGGATGTTTATTTCAGTTTTCTATGGTTGGCAACAATTCCAGTTGTATCTGCATCATCCTATCTTGACAACAAGGATCTGCATCATCCCATCTTGATGACAAGGACCTGCATCATTCCATCTTGACGACAAGGATTTGCATCATCCCATCTTGACAACAAGGATTTGTACTGACTTTTCTATGTTCTTCAAATATAATACAAAGCTATGGTCACTCCCACTGAGTTTTAGGAAGTACAGTTCCAAAGTGTTTTTTTTTAAAGATGTATCACTTAGTATTCTTTTCCTCCTTTGAGTTACTAGTTTTTTACAGGTACTCCTTAAAAGTGGAAGTATATCTTCCTTCCATCTTCTCTGAAACAGTGATAGCCTAGAACCAGTCATCACAAAAATGGACATAAGATGATACCTGAAAATATAAAACTGGAAAGTAAACATTACCTGGATAGGTCTGTCACAGTAACTAGTGACATCTAAACAGATGGCTTGTCTTCCTTCATTAATGATGAGATCTCCATCCTGAATAAACATCTCTCCAGGGGTCACATTCACAGGACAAGCAATATAGTCATCATCTATGGGCTGATGAGGCAAAAGAAACAATTGCATGCATTTTATTACTTTCTAACTTGAAAAGAAAATTAATTTGTGTATAAATTAAGTTACAGTCACATGGCACTGTAAGTTACTTATTAACAGTTGTGGTGCCCTAAAACAAATGAGTTATTTTGCCAAGTAGGGTTTCTGGAATTTGTTCCTGTATGATTCTCATCCTTAAGGTGTTAACTCTACTGGCAGCAATCCTAGAGGAAACAATAGCCATGACGATGGCACTATATTCATAACTCAACTATCTGCCTAACTATTGTCTTTCTCTGCTTAATGCCGTTTGGGGTAACAGACACGACTAATGATTGGAGGTGTAACAGGCATGGCTAATGATTGGTTTCTGGGATAGTGTGTGCTTGTTAACTTGCTGTGAGGGGATATTGCTGAGTTTCAGCAAGTTGTCAACACCATTCATCCATGTTCTTTTTGGCCTTCCTCTGCCTCCTGATGTGTCCATTCTCTTTAAATCGAAAAAAGAGTAGCCTAACGGCACTGCCCAGGCGAAAAAGTGGATTTAAAAAAACTACCCAAATATTTCAGGATCCTTGCCAGTGCTACGGAGCTCGTGCACTGCGCTCATATTCTTCTGGATTCTATCTCTCAGTCCAGTCTGCCTTCTGATGTGAAGATGATTCTTAGTTGTCTGAATTTTTCTACCCGTTTTAGTGAATGTTCATTAATTTTAATGTTTTATAACTCAACTACTGTACAATAAAGACAACTTAACAAATGAAGCAGAATGAGGGTAAAAACAATACATTTAACGAAATGAAGTACATCATAAATAAATAAACAAACAGTATCACAAACAAAGAACAAACCTTATCCTTCATATCTTCAAACTTGTCCAATGAAGGAACAGGAAGAAAACTGCCATACAGAGCCAGCTCCAGATCTCCATTTTCACTGGCTACTGGCTTATGAATTGTAACCTGTTAAATCAGAGCATTCTTGAACTGTTACATAATTTATGTCAGTCAATTCTCTCTCTCTCTCTCTCTCTCTCTCTCTCTCTCTCTCTCTCTCTCTCAAAAATAAAACAGTGTCAAAGACATCCAACTAACCAAACAATATGAAGTAATAGTTTCATTTTTTTGTGTTTCAGTACCAAACAACCTATCATGTGTGATAACTGGATATTGTTCATATATTCAAAGTGATATGTATGTTTGTGTATTTTACAGTTGGTCAGCACATACTCCAGCAATGTTTCGACACTTGTTTCTGACAAGGGTTATGTATTTTACCCTCTGTAGAAAAGATAAACCTTAGAGTTTGGTGATGTCATGATTGCCTGCAGTGAGCATCAGTTATGATTCTCTGGGACTTCACATAGTGACAAAGTGGTCAAATCAGCTGCCTCATGCTCAAAAGGTCACAGATTGATTTCATGTCTATGACGTTGGTTCACAAGTGCAATACTGATGGAGAGCCCTGGTGATCGTCGCCGGAGCTAGTGTTCATGCTTTGTGCAAAAGCATCCTTTATAATGTGACAGTATGAATTACAGTCACGAATACTAAAAGAAGAAAATAGAAGAAGAGAAACACAAGCAGAGAAATAAGGAGGTATAAAGTCACTTGAGAACAAGAAGGTTGCTACATAGTATAATGCAACAACCCTGGTGGCACTGACCCAAGAGACCACATACAAAGACGTAATGTCACATGACAGTCCACACCCCTCTGGTCATGGACCTGCCCACATCTTGTCACCTCTAAGTAAATGAGGCATTTTCAAATCCTGGACTTTCCTCTATAGGTAAATAGTCCTTCTTTTGTACTTATGTGTCAAGATGTTGGGATAAATAGAAGAATTTGATCATAATTCTCTTGAGAATGACATATATTTAAATTCCGCCATATAGGTGGGGGATTCATTGATAGTGAAGCCAAATTCTATTGGCCTAACTACCACTTTGGACGCAGATGAATCCACTCCCGCGGTATTCATTATGTAACAGGAACTAAGCTAGGAGAACAGGACCTATGTAGGCCAATATACCCATAAATTGGTGAAGGAAGATACAAAGGGTAAAAGCATAGAGCATTAGCCTAGATAGACAGACAAAGATGCTGGCAGGATGGCCTCTAAAGGACACTGAGCTAAGAGCGATAATTGGGAATTTGCATATTTAATCAAGCTATGGAAACTGAAACTGCTAGAGCAGCATACACCTACAAAGCTCTGGGAAAACCACAACATTTAGAGAGGATGGCCAAGCCTAGAGAAATTACGAGGGTATTGATCTAAAAAGGTTTTCAAGAAACAATGGAAATTTGGAGACAGAGGAGCCAAAAGCAGAAAACAAATAGGTTATCTAAGGACAGCAACCCGGATGAGGCACAGGGACTAGTTTGCATATATTAAAGAGATGTTGAACTCTGGGTCAGCATGAAGAATTAGGACAAACGGCCAACCTGAGCTTACTTAGGAAAAATATGTATGCCAAAGAAAGGACTGAGAGGGACAATTTGTGCTTAGAGAGTCAACAGGTGCCCATACCCTAAGGTCGACTAAGATAGTGATAATGGAGATACTGCTCTGGAATGTTACAGGCGCACATGTTGAAGTATAACTGAGTCGTGAAACAACAGAATCTGTTCAGCACTAGAGAGTTTACAAGTTACAGGCACCCATGCCATAGTATAACTTTGAGATGAGAGATGATTGTCCAAGATTGTGAAACGGACAGAATCTGTTTAGTACATATAAGTTACAGTTACGTCTTGTGTGTATCATAGTTAGCCCTGATAAAAGTATGGGATAAGTAGTGTAGGGACAGGTAGGGGAGGACAAATTATGATGATTGCTCTGATATGCATTAACTGAAGATCCAGTTAATGCATATCAGACCAATCATCATCATGTGTCCTCCTCTACCTGTCCCGAGTCATCTAACGAGACACAGACATGGGAAATGCTACAATGATAGAATCAAGAGTATTAATGCAAAGTTTGAGTAGCCACATGTATTTATAATAATTTCTGCAAGTGGACATAAGCTTTTGAAACTGGAGGACAACCAAAATAACAGGAGACAGTTGGAAAAGGAAGTCAAAAGGAAACCCCCGAGGTATTCAGGCCAAGAGGCCCAATTTCAGATGACACTGGTAGAAAACAAGTAGTGTGCTGTGCATGTATGAACTGGGTGGTAACCCTTGGATGACCTTTTTAAGTATCTGACTATTCTGCATTGGATTGCAGAGGGAAACGCTATGGACACTTATGTCAGAAGAATAATTATTTGTGTAATTATATGTTTTCTGTGTTATGTCTGTAATGTAGAAATAGACTTCTAGTGGAAGATATAGTAACTATGGGATTGCCGGCATGGCAAATAATGATAATGATGTTTTAGCCAGTACGGTAAGTGCCTAGTGATACTGAAGGCCATAGCAGAATATCTGAGAAGTGTAAATTAGAGTTACAAATGATGCCATGTATTAGTAAGTTCCAATACACTCAACTGCTAACAGCCCAAAGGTGGAGATGCTGCTTGAAGCCAACTTTTGTTCTGGTCAAGGCAGCACAATGAAAAACCCAATAAGCATAGTCTCTACCTATCCTGGAAAAGGGTCAGTAGGTGAAAGAGGGAACCTGAGAAGAAGAACTGTACTGTGTTTAGCTGTGTGTTGGAATCACTAGATAGGGTATCTGTTTAAGTGTCCATGCTAAGGCATGTGGTGAACAGTAGATAAATAACGGTATGCATGGTTAGAAAGGCTAGTACAATAAAAAGCAAATAAAAGTGCATGGGAGAAGGAATATATTTGCAATAGTCAGTTTAAAGTGAAGTAAAGGATACTTCTTCCATACCTCCAGGGGTGTGTTGAATATAAGGCTTGACCTACATTTTACAGACCAATAGCACTTGGGTGATGAAGTGATCAGCATCAAACCCGCCGCCTGTACTTTCCAGGAATTTAACATATAACCATGTGAGGCTTTGTCAAACTATGAGTCAGAATTAGCCTAAATATATTATGTAACAAAGGCCACCAGTAATAGTTGAATACTGGACTCCTTATGTCTAAACAATCCTGGTACCAATCAATACTAGCAGCTATGAGGCAGGAAAATACATTCCTAAATATGTGTTCAGTTACAGGAGTTCCGGCAACAGCCTGTTTGTAGGCTGAAGAACCTTGTATGACAAATGCATCTGATTAGCTAAGGTATTATAGAATGTGATGATAATGGCAAAATAGGAAACATTTATATGACTCCATTTACAGGAGAAGTCGAACAACTGGGTGTTTGATATTTGAGACTAACCTGGGCTAATAAGACCGGCTTGTTAACTTCTTCTTATTTATATATTGCTATCTGCTTAGCGATTTCAGCGTGTATTAATGTTATCTATTGATCATATCATTCGGAGATAAATTATTGATTTTAATAAACTTCTTACTGTTGTGTAATCTTGACTCTAGTTGGTGGAGATCTATTGATTTTTTAGAGTGCAACTCTCTTGAATTAGTTCTGGTAACTTAAATTAGCCATCATATACAGTAGGGTCAGAATTACACTGGTGCAACATAACTTCAAGGGTCGCAGACATTCCTGCGGCCTCTGTTCAAAAAACCCCACATCTTCTTCTCTTATCTATCTCATTTAAATTGATCTAAGGGTGAGAGTACTTAACTGCTCAGTGCAATGACATATCTACTCAGTCTATATTAACTTCTCACTATTATCCTTTCTGATCTTTAACAGCTCCTCATTTTGTCCTCCCTAAACTCCTCCTTTCATATAATAAGCCTAACAAAAGGGAAATCACTCTAGGACAAAAATAAAATATAAAAACAAGTATCCATCATCCTTTTGTGTGTGTTCTGTATTTATAAATGGAGCTTAGACCCATATCGGTGACTACTAATTTATTGCTACACATCTTTCATTCTAGTTTTCACACAGCATTACACAGTCTTATTTTTTTAACGTGTAGTTTGTGTGGTACAACAAACATAAGGTACAGACTTCCAAGCTTAAATTATTTGACAACTGATAAAAGACTATAAATATCCTCACTCAATGAATAAATTATCTGCAACATGTTTACTATAGTGAATTGTTATATTACTCTGTTGCCTAGTGATGCGGTTACATACCAGCTTTGTTCCATCAGGAAAAGTAGCTTCTATCTGAACTTCAGACACCATTGACTCCACTCCTGGCATAACCTGTCTACGACCTGTCAAATTTTGAGTGATGCTTATTATTACAACGAATGCCTTATTTACAATGATACTGACAGCTACAAAGTTAAAAGAACTTACATAAAAATGAAATTAATAAATGCAGCAAATAATATCTCAGAACTTTGTTAAACCAATGTTACTTGTAACATAACACGCAGAATTTGTACAGCATTCACTTCATATCTAGACTGCATGGTACATTTCACAACCCATACCAATTGACACACATTTTCTCATAGGGGTATCAATGGAGAAGAAGTTAGGCCGTTTGTCTCATATTCTGATGGATGTGGGTTCCATGTTGCACTCAATCCTTTAGTTCATGACTGCAGGTGTTTAGGTCTTAGCTAAAGAGTTTGTGCTCTGTGTAATGTGGAATGTGCAATTAGCCACTCTGCAAAATTAAAATGAGTCATAGGGTAAAAAACAGTGTAATGGAGTGAATCTTCTTGTCCTCAAACACATTTGCTTAACTACATGAATGGTAAAAGATCTACACTTCACAAACTGGTCAATGAGTTATATGATATTATAAGATAATTCTAAATATATCTCAGTGAACTTACCAAGGATGTGGCGACCTTTCTCCACCAGATCTGAAATACTGAGTCCATCTCGTACTAGTTCTTGTAGCTGAAATACAAACGTAAGTAAGTACAATGTTCATAACTCATTACAGACAATGTAACATCTGTTTCCAAGCAGTTTGTATAGTCTACTCTTGTGTGTGTATAGATATATGTGTGTGTGTGTATGATATATATATATACACATATACACACACACACCACTAGAACTGCACCACATGTTCTACCTCATGCAGATTTCATGTCTGCAGAACCATGCTAACAATTCTGGGCTCTCCTGTCAACTACGGCCGGTAGACAACAGTAGACGGCCGGTTAGTCAGAGTTCTGTCCCCTGGCTGCAGTGCAATTACAGACTGGAGAAGGCACGAATCAAAAAACAAAGTGAGGTCGACATGCCGTGCAGACCCCGCGCTGCGACTCAAGTTAGCAACCGCATTCAATAAGCGTCTTGCGACGCAGTACGGAGTGGATTAGAGGGAACACACAAAGTAACATACTTACTGTGTATTGGCAATAGACAGCGTGCAGTGCCCTACTGTCATCATACGAATAGGGTTTGGGTTAGGGTTAGGGTTTGGGGTAGGGTGTGGGTTAGGTTTAGGGTTAGGTTTAGGTTCAGTGTTAGGGTTTGTGTTGCTACGTTGAGTTTGTGCAAAGACGAGATGGGGCGACACTAACCGTAACCCTAACCCACACACTAACCCTAAACCTAACCCACACCATACCCCTAACCCTAAACCAAACCCTAACCGTATGATCATAGCAGGGCAGTGCACGCTGTCTATCGCCAACACAAAGTAATTATGTCATTTGTTTCGTATCCTCCTGTCCAGTCCGTAATAGCACTGCAGCCAGGGGACAGAACTCCGACTAACCGGCCGTCTACTGTTGTCTACCGGCGGTAGTTTACCGGAGAGCCCAGACTGATGTCTGACTGAATCTATCTTTATCCTCTTCATGTCATTATAAACTCAGTCACAAAGCATTCGCAAGCAATTTTCACTACTGCCGGTCTGTTTTTTTTTTTTTTTTTTCTGCTGATGGTATTCCATGTAATATTAGTACTACATTTATTTTCGATGAGTGATGTTGTGTTCAACATCGCACCGATCGCCTTTACTTCACAGGACTTCACCTGGTACCCATCTGAGGCTGGGTCAAGCTCGGTTCCAAGGTCATGTTTGAAATGTATCCTGCACCGTGCAGATTTGAACACAGGCCTTCGGACCCGATGCACCACTATTATTTATTATTATTTTGTACGCCCCCGTAATTCTGCCAGGGAGACTTCTTGATTCTTCAGTATGGTGGCGAAAGGAGCACATAGCAAATCAAATCTGTTACGACGAAAACCTGCGCAAAACAGTTACATTTAAAAGATAAAGGTAGGCATAGGACCGAAAAAAAGCCTTGTTTTCGTTTTTAAAAAAATATTTACATACTAATAATAGTATTTGCTGTTAAAGTTTCAGATTTCCGGAATAGTACCTCCAATGAGCTGCATCAATCAAAACTATGTTGATGTCGAACTTTGTTTTGGAGGTATTCGTTAAAATTGTAAACAAGATAAAACGAAACAAGTATATTATTATGATCGTTACAAATTGACAAAGTACACTTCACATATTTACAGTTAAAGAAACCCTCTTACAGTACACTTCAAAAAGAAAGTACGATAATATAGAAAATTATATTCTAGTCAAAAACAAAGAAGTTAAAATAGTTTCAGCAATTATTATAAAAGTGCAGCTGTTAGACATGTAATAATTCATTAATCATCCTGTTGTGCCATTATAGGGCTCGCAGTCTATACCTTCATTCCATTCTATCCTTTATCAGTTTAATATCAAGGATGCAATCCAGTCGTGCAGCTTTGGCCTTTCTCATCAACGTCGACTTAAGGTTTCTTTTGAACATCCTCGCCTCCCTAGTCCCTTTAATCCCCATTTTAATGCCTGTTTGGTGATTCTCTGCTGGTTTCTTCCCGGGAATTTTCCAACGTAGCGCCATTATCTCTGCCTCATAACTGTTGATAGTAGTGTTTGCCCAGCTGAGTTGAGTCAAGAATTGACATTACAGCACTCAGGGCACTCCCATGCGTGCTCCGTCCTCATCTTCAGCAGCCAGCGCAGAGTTCCAGCACTAATGGTACCAGTCACAATCTGGTTATAAGTCCTTCTTACATTTTCTCTGAGTGTAGTGAGCCGGCTAGACCCCCCGGTTTTACCCAGGTGCCTCATTCTCTCCAGGAAATAATAATCTTGCCCAGGAGTTACCGGGGGATCTGGTCGACACTCAACACTCAGGGGAGGGATGAGACGGATAAACAATCAGACGATTACTGGTAGCATCGGAATTGAAACTCTTTGCTTGCTACTGAAGATGGGGACTGAGCACTTATTGGAGTTCCTGAGTGCTAATATGCCGATTTTAATTCAACATTCAACATTCTTGTTTCTCTACTGATTCAGTTGCGTGTTCCCAAAGGGCCTTGGCCACATCTGCAGATGTTTATCTTTTTTTTTTTTCACTTCTTTTGAATTCATCCCATTTTATTTCATTATTTTTCTCAGACATTTGTTTACAAATGCATTCAACTTTTGGTCTATGGCTTTAATGGTTCTCCAATTTTCACATGCATATGTTCAAACTAAAGTAACCTTAAAATTGAAAATCTGTAACTTGGTATTAAAACTTTATAATTTAGAGTTCCATATTTTGTTCAAGGTATTAAAAGCTGCTGATGCCTTGCTAATGCGTGTCATATTTCTTTGTTTGTATTTCCTTCTCTATACAAATTACTACTCGAATAAGCAAATTGATCTGTTACTTTAATTACTTTCTAGTGTACATCTGCTGGATCTGTTGTTAGTGTTTGTTATAATAGGGAGTAAAGAAAACAAACAAAACAACAAAACAAAACTGATCTTGTTTACTTTTTAATGCTAGAAAACAGAAACAGTGGTTCAATGGAGAGAAAAAAAACCCGAAAAAATAGACTACTATATTATAGAATTGAATATGATGAACATATTTAAATATCTGAAGGGGCCATCGTGACATCAGATGGAAAGTGTGTGCCAGAGATTGGAAACTGAACTACAGAAAAGCAAAGTGTCCACGTCAGAGACAACTGTCCACGTGTGGGTTGTGGGGGTCCCATTTGAGGAGGAGGGGGGATATGTCTACTGCATCATAACAAGCATATCGTAAAGAGCTACTAATTAGAGGTGTCGGGCCGCGTTAGCGCAGTAGATAGGAGACTCGCTTTCAAATCCAACTGTGACTCGCTGGAGCCCATGGCCGGTGTTTGAAACCTGGCGGTTCCCGGGGTTCCCCAAGCCTCTAAGAAATGGGTGCCAGAGTTAACACTTTGTGGTAAATGGAAGAGCATTGCTGTAGCTATTTTGCGTGCGGACGACGACACAGGCGGACAGTTTCTTATCAGCCGTCCGTACTGGTGGCAGAGCACTTATGGTGTACAACCGTGTGCAATGACGCTGGTTCACATTTCCCGACTTTTACTTTAATTAGAGGTGTTTCATTTGAAGTCGGATTGCATCTGCCTGAATTGCAAGAAACTAACAGCTTGCATACAAATAAGCCACTTCTTTATAACAGATGATTACCCAAAAAAAAAAAACACACACACACAAAACTAGAAATAAAGCCATATTTTAAAAGTAGACGAACCGCTAGAACTTTCAGTCGGAGTTTACAATCAGTGAAGGATAAGAAGAGACAACTGATATTTTATGCTGAGATTGTTATGCTGTGTGGAGAGTGAACGGCACATTCGGGCAATCTTGGAGGTAGCACGGATATGTGTCTTATACGACGAATGCTGCCAAATATTAGGTCAAAGACAGATACTTCCGAAAGGACATAAACATAACGTACATAGCATTACCCTTGACCCGTAAGGGTCGTGGAGGTGTATTCATGGAAGAAATAGCACATAAAACCCGCCATCTTTCTCGGTCTTCCGCATGATGAATAAGTGTATGATAGCTTAACCCTGTCCATTTCTTGATTTTGTCATTCTAGATACTTTTTTGCCGTCCTCTTCTTTGACTAGCCCCCCCCCCCCCCCCCCCCCCCCCCCCACCCCACTCCCTTTTCAGCAAATGTTCCTTGAAGCACTATCTTTGCAATGTCTCACCACGTGCCCAAACCAAGCTAGCTTGCGATGTTTCACCACTGCCAAGAGAGGCTCCTCGTGTCCTACAAATTGCGAAGGAACATAAACGCCTGGGCCACCTGGCAAGGCACGCGATGATGATACTCCTGGTGTTTATATACAAGTTTCAATACATTTGTCTGCTGGTGGAACAACCCTTATCCAAACACAAATGCCAACAGTACATACCTGCGAAGCAATAAGTGCAACTGCCTCTGGATAGTTCAGTCTGAGGCCACGAGCTAAACGTCTCTGTGCCACATACCCCACTTGGGACACCAACAGTCCTTCGAGTTCTCTAGGTGACAGTCTCATCCTAAGGTCTTCAATGAACGTGCAAAAGCTCTGCAAACAGTATATATTCAGCAGATTAGCTTTTGACCTGAAAATGTGAAAGCCAGATAGTACTAGACATAGGCATGTAGGTCTCAGGGGCTTTCCTGCAGTTTAAAACTTGACAAAATGGTAGTTTTGCACTAATATTTGTTTCCGTTATTACCAAATCAGTGTAATTCGCAAGTGCATAGCGAAATTCTCCATTCCTGTTTGCCACCTATTGCCTGTTTGCATTGAACCAGTATACCACGTTTCAATTTATTTCATAGTACAGTACTGGCTAACTGCAAGTGCTAGCAGGTACTGTAGGTACCTGTTGATTAGTCTATCTCTAGATCACTACACTCTCACAAGTAGGCTAATGTTCCATGTAAATGGCTCTCTTGATATTCTGAATGACGTCAGCACAGTGCCAGTATACTACTAACTACAAGAGTGATTCGGGAGCTAAGTGGAGTTCTTTCACGCCAGGGCCTGAATTGGGTATATGGTAGTAGCTCATATGGGTAGACTCATCAGAACATGTTGTATCATGTGGTCAGTTAATTATAAGCTGCTTGGGCGGACAGTAAAGAAAAAAATTCACGCATCTGACAATTGCTTTACAGTAAAAGAAACTATAATACAGTCACATTTATTATATTGGGATTATGAACACGTTTCCTGTTGGACAAAGCGTTAACAGTGCAGTTTGTGTCATTAAATGAACAAGGAAAATGCAGCAGTGGTTTCAGCTTGCCTTCCACCTGTTTGTATAAGAGCAGAATCTTGACAGCCGCAGAGGCAAAGGTTCAACAGCTCACAGAAGACAGCTCTAAGCTATTTGTGATTGCATACAATAATGAGTCAGTTACCAGGGTAGACAAAGGGGATGCGGCTTCATTTCAAAATCATGGGAAGGGGGAGAAGGATGACTGGACCTAGGCATACAACATTACTACATTCAGCATGCGAATGGAGTTTGAGGTGGTAACTGTGGATTTCCGGAGGGTGAAGAAAATCTCAGCCACTCATGTTGTCATAGAGTATCGGATTCACAACGGGTGCTCAGGAAGGTAGAATCAGGGTTTCTTCGTATGAAATGGGTCGCATCAATCCAGAGGTCGCAGGTGGTGACAGTCACACTGATATTTTAGACAGGCGATGCACGCGTGTTTGGGAATGAACAGAAGAATAGGTTGGCTGGGCTAGCCCCACTGGGAGGTGTACTGCAACTGTACAAGACCGATGTGATTTCTCGCCTGTAGGACGAGGTGACAAGTAAAACTGAAGATACTGAAAAACCGTACCTAATCAGAATGATGCAATACTGTATCTGCTGCCTCAAATGCTTTATCTTGATTTATGTATCGACCAATTGAGTTGTTATACGTGAATTCTTTTTTCTTTTTTTTTTTTTAAATTAACTGTCAAAGTAAAGATCAAACATGTATAACTTTTATTAATTTTAAAGCCCATTTTTTTTTGTGAATAATTAATGTGGTAGTTTATCAGCTTTTTACGCTACATATTTAGATGACTGTTTAACAACCTTTTCTACTTCGTCGGTTTGTATGTAGCAGATGCTTTGCAGGAAGTAGTTTTAACTACAGCTAGTCAGAAAGACTCGCTGTCTAATGCAATTTCCCCTAAACTATTTTTCTGCATTGTTCTTCCTTTTGATCTAGTGTATTCTGTATATTGTTCTATGTTATTCATTCTAGTTATTCTTCACGCCAAAGTATGAACTTAAACACTGGTTTCATCTCCACTAATAAATCGTACCAGCAGTAAAGAAAAGTGTAACTTTTATTTCTAATTATTAACTAGCAGAAAATCAAGAATTACTATGTTTTTTTTTCCAACAGTAAACGAAGTAGAAACATTTAAATACACGTTTATTTATAGTCTAGTTCAGCGGTTCTTAAACGGATGCAGCGGCACTGCATCGGGGTGCCCCGAGACAATAATCAGGAATTTTTCTAAATCTGCTTGAGATCAGCAAAGACAGCAGTTTAAAAAAGAAATACCATGAAGGAAGCGAAGTTCTGGAAGCAGGTGTATTCAGAAGACAATGATGCTATTGGCATATGCTGCAGTGCCTTCTCAAGATGAGCTTACAAAACAACCCACACAAAATAGATAAGAAGCAAACTTTCTGGACCAAGTAATTTGAGGGTAAAATTGACTAAATTTCATATATATATATATATATATATATATATATATATATATATATATATATATATATATATATATATATATATATATATATATATATATATATAGGAAATAATAGAAAATTCACCCAAACAGTTTCATTTATCGTAATTAAGACAATTGAACATTAAATGTGCACTATTTGTTTCTTCTTTCCTAAGTATTCCAACTGCTTCAAGGGTATGTGTGCCGACAAGAGAAAAGCGGTGGGAACAGTTTGAGAACCGCTTCTCTAGTTACTAGCACTGGTCATATTTATAAACACACAAACTCCATTTAATTGATCCTTTTGCACCAAGTCAACACATATAGCGATATTGGTTTAATTTCTAGTTATAAACCGTACAGAAAAAACGAACAGATATGTGATGTTAATACGCGACGTGACTATAGCATATTAAAAATATACAGTTAGCTTCAACACTCCTCCAGTCAAAATGTATAAGTGTGAAGAAAGTTGCTAGTATTTCCATTTCTAACATACGTACTAGCTTGCTGGCATATAGGACGTGGTCGTGAAGCGAGGGACCGTAACGTCATGGTAGAGACAAATCATCCACTTGGACGTATTTCCAGCATTCCAGTATCATGTTACTCAGATAACAATGTCAGCCTGTACTAAATTAGTTCTGGGACATCAGTGATGTAGATAACATGTAATAGTCGACAAGATTGCCAGTCAGCGCAGCCGTGACATGAACAACCTAACTCCGCTGACATGGCAACATCAGCTTATGTGAAGTCTTTATTCTCATTATAAAAATGTCCACTAAGAGTCAAATAGGATAAATCCTAATTTAATGAAGACGACCCTTCACCCGTAGAAACTTGTTTTCAAGATACTATGACATAATGTGGGATCATAAAATCAAGACAAGTCTTATCTTTATTGTCTGAACAGGAAATCATGTTACTTTTAATTTCATAACGCGCGCGCGCGTGTGCGCGTGCGCGTGTGTGTGTGTGCGTGCGTGTGTGCGTGTGTGTGTGTGTGTTTTGGGGAGGGGCAGATTATGATATCGTTACTACATAACAGTGATTATTTAATATGAAGAATGGTTCTCATCCTTATGGATTGTGATTCCCATGCGCCAGAGACGGAATGGTGCAAAGTAACCAGTCAACAATGACAGCAGGAAGAGAAGCATTCATGTAATAAACTCGCTGTCTTGGATCTCCTAGGCTGTTATTTCCTTGTCTGTTGTCAACATACTTGGATGACAACTCTTAGGACCCAATTTTCACGTGCGTTTCAATGATTATTAAAATATAATTATTTTTTTTCTGCTGTTCTTAACATAAAACCATCCTCCTCGCTAAAATAGAATAATAAGTTCATTTTTAAGAATGTATTTAACGTTGCTTACGTCACCCCTTAGAGTTCTACATACTCTCCATTCCTTGTTTGTGTAGTTCACTTATGTTTAACAAAGGCTGCCCGACCGAAACGTTACGTTGTGTTGTTTTGTTCACGTTTTTCTGCTTCCCCATTTGGTTGAGCTATTTTGTCGAATTTTTCTGGAATTCATTTTTAAGAAGTCAAAAAAAGAAGGAAGAAAAAAACGGATAATTATAAATCACTAAACATGTCACAAGATTGTAGTGTTTTATTTGTGTAAATAATAGAAACATGGGGCAGAATGTTAATTCCGGGATTTCCCCAGACATCAACTATTATTTAATATTTGTCAAACAAGTCATGCCTGTCTGATTTCGAATGATTCAAGTGAAACATTATTAGCACATGTAAATCTTCTTGTTCTTGTTCTTCTTGTTCCTTTTGTTTTCTTTCTTGTTGTTTGTGTGCTGCTGCTGCGGCTGTGTGTGATAAGGCGCTGGTGTATATTAGGTATTGTGTTTGTATGAGTGCGTGCATGTATATGTGTGTGGTGTTTGTATGAATGTCAGTTAAGTATGTATATGTATTCAGGTTTGGGTGTGTATGTATAAATGCGTTTGTATGCATGAGTGTGTGTATGTGGATAATATGAATGTGTGGGTGTTTGTCTGAATGTATATCTGTGTATGCATGCATAAGAGTTTGTGTGTGTGGGTGTGTGTGTATGTGCGTGTGTGGATGCATTTATGTGTGGGGGATGCACATATGTGTGAATGTGTGGATGTGAATGTATGAATGCATGTGTGTATAAAGGTGATTTTGCATGTGTGAGTGTATATGCATGCGTTTGTATGGGTGTTCTTGCGTCTATACATGTATGGGCATATAAGAGTGTATGTGTACGTGTATATTCGGGGTGTGGTTTGAAAGATAAATGCTTGGAAAGGCCGAATGTAAGACCGGCCTGCCTGCTCAATTTGTAACTCTCTGGAAATAAAGTTCTTTCGTCGTTTTCTTGTTCTTCTTCTTGTTTGCCTCTCCTCCACTCTCTTAATATTATTATATTTCTTTTTGCTTCCTCTTGTTCTTCTTCTAAATCATATTCTTCCTGTTCACTTTCCTTGATTCTTCTTCTTTTCCTCTTTCTCCTACCTTTTCTTCTCTGTCCTCTTTCTCCTACCTTTTCTTCTCTGTCGGCTGACAGCTTTCGCCCGAGCAAGACGTTGAACGCGCAAGCCCGCCTCGCCTGAACACGTTGCCCGCTAACTATCCATTCGTTGCCTGATTCTCGATAGCTAGCTACTGGACAGAATCGCTTGATATTCGGCTGAGTCTGTCTCGACTAAGCTATCGGAATCGGCTGCGGGTGGGTCATTAGCAGCCCGTGTACGCACCTAGCCAACTACAACTACCAGCAACAAAGATCTACAAGAATCAACAG